CCAGATCCTTCCCACCTGGTGACTAACTAGCTGACTGCAGCTAGGCACCACAACCAGGGAAAAAAGGGCGTGGTCTGCAGCTCAGCTTGACACTATCGATCAAGCCAGATGAAACTAATCAGTTAGCTATACTTCAAATGTGCCTTCAGGATATTAAAACCTGGATGACCTGTAATTTTCTAATGTTAAACTCAGATAAAACTGAAGTTATTGTTCTGGGGCCCAAGCACCTCCGTGATGCATTATCTAAAGATATAGTTTCCATTGATGGCATTGCCCTGGCCTCCAGCACCACTGTGAGGAATCTTGGAGTTATCTTTGATCAGGACATGTCGTTTAAGTCTCACATTGAGCAAATTTCAAGGGCCGCCTTTTTGTCACCGACGTAATATTGCGAAAATCAGGAACATACTGTCTAAAAATGATGCAGAAAAACTAGTCCATGCATTTGTTACTTCTAGGCTGGATTACTGCAATTCCCTATTATCAGGCTGCTCGAAAAAGTCCATTAAGACTCTTCAGCTGATCCAGAATGCTGCAGTACGTGTTCTGACAGGAACCAGGAAAAGAGATCACATTTCTCCTGTCTTAGCTTCTCTGCATTGGCTTCCAGTAAAATCCAGAATAGAATTTAAAATCATTCTTCTCACATAGAAAGCTCTTAATGGTCAGGCACCATCTTATCTTAAAGAGATCATAGTACCTTACTACCCCACCAGAGCACTGCGCTCCCAGATTGCAGGGTTACTTGTGGTTCCTAGAGTCTCCAAAAGTAGAATGGGAGCCAGAGCGTTCAGCCATCAAGCTCCTCTCCTGTGGAACCAGGTTCCAGTTTGGGTTCAGGAGGCAGACACCATCTCCACATTTAAGAGTTGGCTCGACACCCTCTGCTGCACCCTCTGCTAGTCTTATTGTTATTATTGTTATTACAATCATTAACATTACCACTGTTACCATTAACACTACTGTAAATATCTGTACCATTTTTCATTTAGACTATAGCAACATCACCTTTACTGTCTGTACCTCTGTGTGTATATTGTGTAGGCTGCCTCCCTCCCCTCTCTCTCTCTCTCTCCCTCTCTTTTTCTCTCTTTTCCTCTCCTGCTCTCTCTTTCTCTCTCTCTCTCTCCCTCTCTCTCCTTCACCCCCAACCGGTCGAGGCAGATGGCCGCCCACCCTGAGCCATGGTTCTGCTGGAGGTTTCTGCCTCTTAAAAGGAAGCTTTTCCTTGCCTCTGTCGCCTAGTGCTTGCTCTTGGTGGGAACTGTTGGGCTTCTGTAAATAACATCACAGAGTACGGTCTAGACCTGCTCTTTTATGAAAAACGCTGTGAGATAACTGTTGTTGTGATTTGGCGCTATATAAATAAAATTGAATTGAATTGAATTGAATAATAGTGTGCATAATAATGAAAGTTTACAAAATATGTACCAACTGAATGTGTGCATGCAAACTTTTGTCCAGCTGTCAGTGAAGTGCAGAAACTCACCAAATGTTTCAAAATAGCGTTTCCACTCCAGTTACTGTGCAGATGTCAGTGAAGTAGTCAATCAAAAACCTAATTATGTCCATAAATACACAATACAAGTTTGATCATGTATGTAGTGGTTTTATTTTAAAATAAAATTTAATTTGTGAGGAATAAATAATGATGGCTCTCACATATTTAATTCACTTCACACCTTATCACTTTATCATATAAACATTCAAACCAGCAGCGTTATTTGTGCTCGCGCTAGTGACCCATAACTATTCCATACTGCACCTTTCAATTGTAAAAGAAATAAAATAAGCCAAATTAGTGCCAATTCTTAAATAAATAAAATATTTCATCAGGCCTGAGTGTGGTCACGGACACTCATGGTCAGCTGTGAACCTGCAAGGCTAAAGCCAGGATAATGTTAGGTGGCAGGATGCAGGATCGCCTTTCCCACGATATTAGACGTGAATTTAGCTACTGAGTCTTTCTCAGACTCAGCTAACTGATGGAGTTATGATCATATTTCAGTTTAGTTTTCGAACACAGACTGTACTGCCAGGCGCACAGAGCGCACTGAGACGCCCCGGTGGCGCGCAAACAGATCTGCATTCTCACCTCGACTCATCCGGCACATCTTCACCCCCTGCACATATGGACTGTGTAAATTAAAAATGTCTTGAAATAAAGCCAAGGACAGCTCTCCCATAATCGCTCATCAGTCCTCATGATGCAGCCCAACCGAAAAACCAACATTAAAACTCAATCTTCAAATGATCTCCCCACTGACTTAAGCTATCATTTTGGCAAGGTGTTAAGCATACTCTGTATGACTGCTGTAAACATACAAACACAGGGACATCAGCAATTAAGCAGTTGTGCACTTTGTGCTTGCACTCTGTGTAGATTATGACAGCATTCGCAGCCTCAAAAGGGAATGCAGGAAAGCAGAGCGCAGATGGAAAAAATCCAGTCTCCAAGTCCATTACCTCAGTCTGAATGATTTATTAATTAACTACAATAACATGGTTAAGGATGCGAGAACACACTATTTTTCTGAACTCATTACTACACATAAACACAATCCCAGGTTTCTGTTTAAGACTGGGGATCAGCTGGTAAACCCAACCCCTCCTTGTGCCTCAGCTGGAAGTAATGATGACTGTGAATTGTTTTTATCTTATTTTACCAATAAGGTGGTGTCAATCAGAGCCTCTATTACCCCCGTGGCCTCTTACTCAGAGGTCCCTCACCAGCAACAAGAGAGTTTTAACCAGTTTTATCCCATCGACTTGTCTGAGCTTTTAAAAACAGTATCACAAATGAGAGTGTCCTCCAGCCCACTTGATATAATACCTACAAAGTTTTTACTGAAAGTAATAGATTCTGTTGGGCCCCATTTGATCTCTATTTTCAACAGCTCCCTATCTACTGGTTGTGTCCCTGATTATTTTAAAACGGCTTGCGTGAACCCACTTTTAAAGAAACCTGGTTTAGATCCCTCCCTCCCACATAATTTTAGACCAATTTCAAAACTGCCTTTTATTGCAAAGATTCTAGAAAGAATTGTGTCCAAACAGCTGCTCACTGTCCTGGAAAATAACAAATTATTTGAAAAGTTTCAGTCTGGTTTTAGGAAGTACCACAGCACTGAGACTGCCCTGCTTAAAGTCACCAATGACCTTTTAATGTCTGCTGATGAAGGCATGTGCTCAGTCCTGGTACTCCTGGACCTTAGCGCTGCTTTTGACACCATTGATCACAACATCATGTTAGACAGACTGAGGCACTGGGTGGGGATCTCTGGTACTGCCCTAGAATGGTTTTCATCCTACCTGTCAAATAGGAAGTTTTGCGTGTCTGTAAACAACTATGTCTCCTCGTTCTGTCCAGTTAAATATGGTGTGCCTCAGGGGTCGGTCTTAGGACCCATTTTGTTTTCCTTGTATCTGCTTCCCCTTGGACATATTATCCATAAACATGGCATTTCTTGTCATATTTATGCTGATGACACACAAATATACTTGCCCGTCAGATCCACAGACCCTGGAGTTCACTTAATAACTGCCTTTGTGAAGTTAAAAAATGGATGTCAAATAATTTCCTCCAGCTGAACTCAGACAAAACAGAAATCCTGGTCATCGGGTCTCAGCAGATGGCAAATCAAATACTGCCATCTGCTGGTTCCCTAGTAAATCACATTAAGCCTGTGGCAAAGAACCTTGGTGTTTGGTTTGATAGTAATTTAAATTTCGAGCAGCACACCACAAAGCTTGTTCAATCATGTTTTTATCAACTTAGAAATATAGCTAAAATTCGATCTATGTTAACTTTTAAGGACACCGAGACCATTTTACGCGCCTTCATCTCATCACGCCTGGATTATTGCAACAGCCTTTTCACCTGTTTAACCCAAAAATCTATTGATCGACTCCAGACTGTCCAGAACTCAGCTGCCAGGCTTTTAACCAGAACAAAGAAATATGACCACATTACTCCTATTTTAGCTTCATTACACTGGCTCCCAGTATGTTTTAGAATTGACTTTAAAATTCTATTGATCACTTTTAAAGCTCTTCATGGCCTCTCGCCTTGTTATATTTCTGACCTTTTAGTCCCATACGCACCAGCACGTACCTTGAGATCCTCGGGCAGAGGTCTGTTGTCTGTTCCAGAGTCTCGACTGAAAACTAAAGGGGACAGAGCGTTTGCTGTCAGGGCCCCGAGGCTCTGGAACAGCCTGCCCGAGGAAATCAGGTCGGCTGAGTCAGTGAACTCTTTTAAGTCCCTTCTTAAAACATACTTTTATAGGAGAGCTTTTCCCGATCTTATTTGACTTTATTTTATCCCTTTTATTTTATTGTATTTTACAAATTTTATATAAAATTTTCATGCTCATGTTTTTTTTTGTTTTGTTTTTTGTTTGTATTATTCTTTACACTTGTTAAAGCACTTTGTAACTTGTTTTTGAAAAGTGCTCTACAAATAAGGATTATTATTATTATTATCATTATTATTATTAAAAACTGTGTGACAGCGATCATGCAGTAATAAGCCCTGAATCTAACTTAGATCCCCTTTTGGTCTACATCACTAAAATATCCTCCAGCAGATTTGCAGTCTAAAAATACTAATAATGCTTGTAATCAGTTATTTTGTGAGTTCCCCTTGGTTTGTTTGTAAAAAGTCAGTGTGAATCTGAACCAGAACTAAAATGCAACAATGTAGCCTATATTTTTTTCCAAAAGCTGTGACACCAAGAGCTCCTTCATGTTTAGATGAAACATCTCTGTCTGCAGGGAGGAGACCTACTCAACGGGAAAAAACAGTGGCGCTTGTCTAAACCTCAAACACACCACCACTGGGAATATTCCCGCTGACTGTCTGCTCCGCCTTAATGAGTTTCACCTGTCCCTCGTTGTCCTCCCCTATCTCTGGTATATTGAATTCAGTGTTGTTTCCTTGTCAGGGGGCAGAGGCTATCACAGGCTATTTAACAGGCGCTGACGCTGAGGTGCATGTCAGTCAGTCAGTCATGGGTCTTCCCGGTTTTCAGATGTGGATATGGACGCTGTGCGTCTTTGTGAGCTGGATGTGTGTGGGCCAGGCAGTGGCAGGACCGTGAGTTTACTTGTTTTGTCTTCAGTATACATTGTGAATTAGGGTTTGAATGGGTTAAATAAAGATTAAATGGCTTTATTAAATTTATCTGCACCACACTTTGAAGAGACAATCGATGACCAGTTAACTAATTTGGTTTCATAAAATGCTGAACTTTATCAATTTGGATGGCTGAATAATAATTAAACAGATAACTACTAAAAGCTCATTGGTTGTATTTGGAAGTCTACATTGATGAGGGGGATATATTCGCTCTTCTGCAAAGTTAAAGAAACAAGCATGCATATCTACAAGGTTTTGTTTAAAAGAGGAACAAAACACACGTGTTTGTATTGTTTGTATCTGCAGGCAGTACATGGTGGCCATTTCTGCAGTTCTTGAAGCTGGAGCTGAGACCAAAGTCTGTGCGAGTCTCCTGCAGCCCAACGAGAGTCTGGACATGACCGTCACTTTGATGTCCCAAGAGCAGAATAAAACCCTTCTCAAGAAGACGTCCCGTAAAGACTTTCATATTTGTGTTCGGTTTCAGGTCAGCCCTCAACTTGGATTAATTTCCACAGTGTACTTTAAAAATGTTGTAATTAAAAACACCCTCTATATTGAACCTTAAAAGATCTTTCTGTTGCAGGTTCCTTTAGTGCAGAATGAGGTTGTGCAGGACTTGAAGGTAGAATTGCGAGGTAACAAATTTTACTCAAAAGAAGTCAGGAAAGTCATGATCAAAGTCTATCAACCAATGACTTTCGTCCAAACGGATAAACCGATCTACCTCCCTGGACAAACGGGTAACGTTGAGCTGTGATGTAACAATATGGTACCATATATAGACAGGTTTCCTCTTTACAATTTAGGATCTTGTTGACCCATTTGGAAATTTGGCTAGGTAATGAGAAATTGTGGTCTCAAAACTCCCTTTAGCTGGCTTTAGAGGCCCTGACAAACTGTACAGTTCTAATGTTAATGAATGCCAAACAAAGGCAGTGATGTAAAGCCGATGTAAACTTATCTGTTGTTGTGACCTTAACTTTCAAGTTTCACAATAATGTAACTTCAATGTAACTTCTGAGTTGACAAATCAAGAATGTTTACCCTGGTGTAGATTAGCTGTAACAGCTTCATATGATCTTTTTGCTTTTCTCTCAGTATATTTCAGAGTCGTTACACTTGACACCAAGTTGAGACCTGCCAGGCAACTGGTGAGTGCTCAAACCCTTACTATATATATATAAATTTTTTTTTTTAAACATCTCATTAAGAGATGTCCCAAGCCAATCATAAAGCTCAGTATTGCCAATCCAGCCATGAATCTAATACTGAAGTACTGTCGTTGTCAAAGTAACTAAATGGCAGTCCAAACTAAAACTTGTCTTCAATCATGGATGCCTTTTTGTTGTTTTGTAACTATGTACAGTGTAATTATCAGCTGTGTCATTACTAACCTTCTAGTTAAGGGTTAAATGTCAGGCAGAATTTCCTTTTTTTTTTTTTGGACGCGCGATCTATATTTCCCCCAGAAGAATGCACGTTTGTGCCAGGATGAGGAGTTTAAAGACACTAACGGCTAAATCTAACACTACAGTGGCCAACAAAGCCTTGGAGACTTGTTGGCAGCACATTGAGTAAATAACTTAAAGTGTGTCTAATTATCTTATGGACATATTGGTAATTGAGTTTAAAAGGTTCAACTGCATATTGGGGGCATTGTAGGTTTAGGGAACAATAAGCCGCCAGCATGAGAGGGTTGACTGATGGTCACAAATCTACAAGTATACACTTTCTGACTCTCGTCAGTCATTTGAGAATTTTTTTTTTTTTAAGGAACTCAATAACTAAACTTGGCAAGACTGCAACATCACATGCTGTGTAGTATACATGCAGTGGAATATTAAATTATGCTTCACAATTGGCTTTCACCAGTGATGGAACTGTTGTGATCTAAGCCCGCAATCAACATCATATGGCTCAGTATTTGAGGCACTGCTGTGAGCCTTGAGCCTTTTCAGAAGAACTCGACAGTGAGGCTTTTCTTCCCTCAAATGTGACTGGGTTGGTGGGGTCTCAATGTGGTCAGTTATTACCTCTCCCCAGGCTCCCTGTTCATCTAAAATATGCAAATGGACAACACCACAGAAATTTGCACACTAATAAAATCAGATGTACTCTATAAATAACTTAGGCTGCAGGGCTATATGAACGTAATTCTATTGTGTTAAGAATATCTTCACTTGGATGCAACCCCAGTGGAAAGTGCACATGAGAGCCAGTCAGGATGAAATCTAATCTATCCACCTTTTGTTGTGCAGATTAAATGGCATCTCATACTTGACATCACAAGATACTCCTGAAGTTACTCTGATAAGCCAGTTACCTCATTTTGTAGCATAGGCCTCTGGGGGGGGGGGCATAGGTAAACTTGCCAGTGCTGAACCAGTTTCTCACTTTGCCAGGAACCCTTTGGAAAGGCCCTTTTCTTAATGTGATACACATACCTGTACACAAAAATGTAAATATCAGAGAATTGAACCTCACCCCCCCATATTCTAGTCTCTTAAATAAAACTTAGGTTTATACTGTTCTCACAGTATCCTAATACTTGTCCTTAAACCTTTTTTTTTTTTTTGCAGTACAATATCATCGAAATTGAGGTAAGACTATCTACGCTTATTATGTAAACTTTGCATGTTTACCTCTTATACACATCACAAGGTTAAGCTTCCTATGAGGTCAGCATTTCAGGGTTTTAAACCAACCTATGGAAATTTATATTTTGGTAACTTATGTCATAATATACAGAACTACAGTAAAGGTAAGCTAAACTAATTCTTGACCTTGGAAACAAAGCTTAACCTAAAATGTCTTAATAGCTGCATTTATTTGTTCAGTTTGTCTGCTTCATTAAATCTTTTGTTGCACTGCACAAACGCCACTGTTGGTGAGTTGGCTAGCTAATAGAGCTAACAAGTGGACCATAAGATCTTGTCAAACTATATTAAACTGTAATTTAAAATGCGCAAATGTAACTAACACTACTAGCTTGATGCATTGGTTGATCTGTTTTAGTGTCTAAAATGTTAATGTCTCAAGGTTTCTTTAAAGTAAACATGATTTTCACACACTTATCAAAATGCATGTCTCAATTTCATCTGCCATCTTGAAGAAAATAATCAATAAGCTGCATTTTTAGCAGTGAATTTCTGATAATGTAATCATTATCCTGTCAAATACTTACTGTTCCGTTTGCCTTATTGCACAGGATGCTAACAACAGGATTGGGCAGTGGCTGAATGAAACGTCAAACGGTAAAATACTGCAGCTTTCTTACTCCCTGAACTCTGAGGCCCGTGAAGGAACCTACCAAGTCATTGTGTCAATTGGTGAAAATAAAGTGTATCAGAGCTTCAAGGTGGAGAAATATGGTAAGTTTGGTTTTTCTTAACCTTCCATTTCAATGCATCAATGAAGCATGAATGCTAACAGTCATGTTCCCCAGTTTTGCCAAAATTTGATGTAAAAATAAATGCGTCTGATGAAGCAAGTATTGAGCAGAAGGAAATCAAAGCTGAAGTATGTGCAAAGTAAGTAAAGCCCTCTTACTCATTAAAGTTCAGTTCCAGTTGGTGTGAATTACTCAACACAACGTGGTGTGTGTGTGTGTATATGTATATATATATATATATATATATATATATATATATATATATATATATATATATATATATATATATATATATATATATATATATATATATATATATATATATATATATATATATATATATATATATATATATATATATATATATATATATATATATATATATATATATATATTATATATATATATATATATATATATATATATATATATATATATTGGTCTCTAATCAGGTATACATACAGACAGCCTGTGCCAGGCAGTGCTGAAGTTCAGGTGTGCCGACCTCTTGATCAGTATGTTCTTGGAATCACCCCTGAACATCCACAAGGAGTCCCTGACATAACTGCCCCATGCTACAAGGAGACAAAGCAGGTACAGTTGCTGTGGCAACTAATTTTTGTGCTGAAACAAGGTGCAAATAAAGGTAGACCTTAGAGGCAGGAGTACAAATGGTGCAGTCTGCTTATCACAAGGATAGCAACAAATGCCTGTCATTCATACCATTTTACTTTCTGTGCTTTCTTTGGCATAGTCTGTAAGCTACTTTTTGTTACTCTAAGCTGGCTACAGCTATCATGGTAGTTTGATAGTCCAAGACAGCTGGCTGTGGGGGGGTTGAGTGTAAAGCAAGGGTGTTAGAGTTGCTTTGCTAGACCTTGCACATGAGCTGCAAAAACTAAATGTTAAAAATTAGGGGTTTTTCATTTCCAAAAGGCTTGGATGCAGGAAAAACTGGACAGGGGCAACCTCAAACACTTGTGTTCTTCTCCCTTGGGCTCTTTCCTCCACCTTCCCCTCTTCCTTCATGTCAGTTTTCTGATTCTTCATTTTGAATCTAAAATGAAGCGTGTTACATTTAACTTTTAAACTAATGAACTAAGCGTCTGTTGGAATGAGTAATGCCTAGCCCCAAATTTTAAAGATTGAAGTAGGGTGTATTAAATGGTAATCCTTGGAATTACAAGTTTTGTAAGTGCATTGTTCCTGCTATGCACAAAGGTCATAAGTATGAGTACTAAGTATAAGTACTTTATGGACTGAATATCCTACCAGCAACTGTTTATCCTCACTCACTTAATTGAACACCAGCACATAGCAACTGACCTGGAAAGGTGTGAAACTCAAGCTTCAAAACGGGTAGGTCAAATTAAGCAATCTGATTAGTGATGAGCATGTACAACTGGTATTGGGTCACATTCCTTCATACAGATCCATATCACTCCGCAACAAACGGGGTTAGTTATAATCTGAGCTTTGTGGGGGTCTCGTGTCCCATTTACACCTGGTATTAAAATTTGACAATGTGAAACAGTGTATCTGCTATGGACAGTCTCCACACTGTAGACTGTAAATGAAACCTGACCTTCATTTTATATGTGCAGCTTCCAGCAGCAATTTTTGTAGGTGTTAAAATGTCCTACCATCCATGCTTTGAATTTTATTTTGTAGATGGACAAGAGAGGCTGTGCCACTTTTTTCTTCAAGATGTCAACTTTCACAAAACTGGACCAAAAGGTGCTGCAAGATGTGCTGGAACTCAGCACCAAAGTGGAAGAGGAGGGGACGGGCAAGTATACGGTTTCAAGAGTTGGTGTATTAAAAAATACAAGGTGTTTAAACCACATGCCATACACGTTGTTGTAACATGGAGGTTTCTTGTACAGGTATTTCACAACCACAGGGGAAGAGAATAGGGATTTCATATGTTGTTGGAAAGCTGTCCTTCATTGACACACCCAAGATTTATGACCAAGGATCAAATGTGGAGGGAAAAGTAAGTGCATGTGGTCTCCACTTCTTCAGTCTGATTCTATTCACAGTGCAAATGAAACCATGATACAACTTTGTGCTTCTAACAGGTTAAAGCAGTTCACTACAATAATACACCCATTCCTGACATGCCAGTGTACCTGTTTGAGGGTGAAAGGTGGTCAGCACGTCTGGTACAGAACCTCACAACTGACAGTGATGGGATTGCCACCTTCTCATTCAGCACCGCAAACTTTAAAGGAGACATCCACCTCTACGTAAGTAATGGGTAGCACTAAGACATCTGTCAGTCACTTGTTGTTTTTTTTTTTTTTGTAACTGAAAAGCTGAAACCTAACCTATGCTTGTCATATTGGAACTGTTGACTATTTCTAGACCATGAGCACATTTGTGGTGTTTCTCTTCTGCAATCTAGGTTGGCAACAAACCGACGCTGGACTACGTTGGTTATAGAATGCCATACTATGAGGTTGGAGATCAAGTGTTGTCTGCAGCCGAACCTTCTTCTCCTGATTCTAAAACAATCAGCTCCCTGGAGGTGAAGAAGAAGGATCAGCTACTTCTCTGTGACAGAGAAGAAGACATTTCCATCAAATACACTGTAGTTGGAGAGAACCGGGGCCCTGTGGATGTGATGTATCTGGTGGGTGAAGTATTTCTCAGCTGGTCACCGCTTCTCTTCCAGAGACATGGACATAGGAAGATGCTTTTAAAATGACCTCCTACGTTATATTAATACCTGGCCTAAAGGAACACTCTTAATACCATTGATTTAGCTAATGAGACTGGGGACACCAACAGTCCATATGACTTTTGGGGTATAATGTGTTATGCAGTTTGATAGCATCTGCAGCCTCTCTTGCCCTTCTGGAAAAACAAAACATGAATCCTTCCATGTCTGCAAGGTACCTGCCTACCCCAAAAATGTAGATTCACCTGTTCCCAGGCTACTTGTTCCTTCAAAATAAAGTATCAAATTAACAAATGTCTTACTAATTTAGCCATTCAAGACTCAATGTACTGTTTAACAATAGGATTGAAACTAATGCAGCAGGACTAGATATCATTTTTCATTAAAGATGCCCCTCTGGATATGTTGCAAATGATTGGCTGTGTTACAAACCTCTCCTTTCACAAACATGGTGGTTTGGCAGTTAACTGGCAAGGTTTACTTGAGGCTTAACAGAGTAACTCACTTGCTTTGAGACTGACCTCATATCTGTTCATAGTGCAACTGTATTTTAGCCAAGCAACCACTTATTAATGTCCTACATACTGAACTTAGAGCAGACCTTTTGACAAGGACCAAAGGAAATGAGGTTTTACTGTTTCATACTCATTCTATCGTGTTCTGATTCTCCAGGTCTTATCCAGAGGAGCCATTCTCATGCAAGGAGTTAAACGGGTTGAAGTGCAAGCTAAATCAGGTGGATGACACATTAAAATCACCCTTTTAAATTAGCATGACCTGATCACCTTTGAGCTGCATTTTCTTGACCTATGGAGGCATGTGAATGATGACAGTTGGTATGTTGTTTCAGTGACTGAGGGCGAGGTGTCCTTCAAGTTGACAGTGTCTGCAGAGATGGCACCAGGCGTCCAGGTTGTAGCTTACGCCGTCCTCCCCAGTGAGACTGTGATCGCCCACAGTGCTGACTTCTCCACCGAGAAATGCTTCAGTCACAAGGTCAGTGAGAGAAGACGCGTGGCAGTGACTGTGCTTGTCAGATGTAGGTGTAGAATCAAAGTGTCTGCTACAAAAGGTCAGAGTGAATAAACACTATCAAATGAATGACTTTGACCCAATTCCACAAATGGTGGTGTAATCTGTGTGCTGTGACAGTGCTTAGTTCTACACTGATCTAGACAGTTGTCTGCTAGTTAATTCAAGTGGGTAAAGCATGTCCCTTGTCTGAAGCCACAGCATACAAATAAGTTGCATTCAGTCAGCCAATTCACAGGGAATAGATTACTGTAAAACTTTGAATAATGGCAGCTTCTATTTGCTAAAAGTCACTGAATTGACCCTGCCTAAAGCAGCCGATCCCACAGGGTTTAAGGTTTTATACACCCAAAGAACATCTATGAAAAACCAGACAGGCATCTGTGGCAACATGTTGCCAGGCCAGTAAACAGGATAGGCAGCTATTTGAAGTTTTATGGGTATGTAAATATATGTAGCATTTAAACTTGACCATCACCGTCAGTGATGCAACTAAAATTCTGAATACCTCTTGGTGTAAACACTGAGATCATAGGTTCTGTTATACTGAAGTCCAGATGGCGTGATGTGTTTTGTATGTCAGGTGTCGCTGGAGTTTTCTCCGTCCTCAGCTGTCCCAGGAGAAGGAACCATACTGCGGGTGACGGCCCAGCCAGACTCTCTGTGTGGTGTGAGTGCTGTCGACCAGAGCGTCCTCATCAAGGAGCCAGGAAACATTCTGAATGCAGACAAGGTAACTGCTAGAATCAACTGAACTAATGGATTCTTATTGATACCATTTAAGTGCCCACTGCATAACCTGACAGTCAACATCAGTCACCAAGAGATGATTCAATTTTCTTCCAGTTAACTGTATAATACAGCTGTTTTGACCAGTTATAAAACTGCTGTACAAATAAGTTCCAACCTAATGTGCTGTGTCCCTCAAGTTTAACATATGTATAAATGTACTGTTTTGACAGACCCTTTAAAGCCACATTTCAAGATGAAAGAGTAAGCCTTGTCACATCTTCATAAAACATGGCAGCTTTGAATGATGCCTTTCTTCACAGATATTTGACTTGTTGCCTGTCAAACAAGCATCCTATATCCCATATGAGGTTCAAGATCCTGATGAATGCTTGTCTGTGAGACCAAAGAGATCTGTGCCATACCCCACTGGGGTCGAGGATGATGCGAATTCTGTTTTCCAGGTACTTGTGCAAAAATATACAATATATAAAGGCTAAATTTAAACACTTATGAATGTTAACCTCTCAAATGCCTGTATGTTTATCTAGAATGTAGGGCTGAAGATGGCAACAAACCTGGCTATTAAAGTGCCTTCATGCCTCAAGTACAAAGCAAGAGAATATTTCAATCAACCTTATGGTAACTTTTGCTCTATCAAGCACCTCAGATTTACCAGCACTTAAACGACTCAGTCGTTGCTGTGTTCCCCTTCTAATGGAATGTTTTCTGGTTCTTTCGGTATAGGTATCAGATATAAAGGTGTTCCTCTGGTAGCCGCAATGAATGAAGTAGCATTCGCACCTGGCGCAGTTGGTGAATCTCCTCCTCCACCACCAATAGAGACAGTTCGCACTTTCTTCCCTGAGACCTGGATTTGGGACCTGGTGGTAGTTGGGTGAGCTGTCACAAGAGTTTTGATGGATGTAAATTGGCAACATTTGAGTAGATTTGGGCCCATAGACTGTGCAGTAAAGTGATTCTCTCACTTTGTCTTGCTGCACATGTGAACGTCCTAAAATCTGCTACTGTTCATTGAAACCAATTTTTGGTATGTTAAAACAAATTTGGTCTCTTTTTGTCTTAAGGATGTTTTGACACTTGGGACAATTATCAGGGGAAAGCCTTTTGGGCTAGTGCGCATCATGCTCAAGCATGGTTCACATTACTGGGGGTGTCTTGAGGCTTGGACCCCCCAAAAGTAGCAAATGGTTCAGGGCATCTATCTTGACTAATTGTAAACATTACAGTATTTGCCATTTGATGCCTTTTATAATTCTTTAAATAGTTTCTGACACCCTAAAATGGACCATGCTATTTCCTAACGTTGACGTTAGTTGAATGTCTGCCACAGCACAGCTGCTCCAGTCCAGTGCATCACATGCAAATAGATACTGCAGGTTAATGTCAGTAGTTGAATATCTAGCTTCTTTAATACACCCAATTTTCCTACCTTCAGAGTCTAGTAATTGGCTTTCTTGAACTTAAAATGAGCTATTTAATGTTAGCTAGCTGGATGGTCCACCCTGTAAGTTCAGCACATTACATTTTTATTTTATCATGTAATTGCTATTGGCAAACACTGGTGCTTAGACATGAGCAGTGAAATTAAGGATTGGTTATTGCGGAGGTCCATCAATAGTCTATTTCACTAAAAGTCATGACAACTTTTCACAATAAGCATAGCATTTTTCACTCTGGAATTCAGTAGTCTTGCCTGGTTTGGTAAATGTCAAAACTCAGGTTTGTTTCAAATGTAGCCTATTTTCAGTTTTATTTACATTGCACCAATTCATAACAAGTCATGTCAATCCATTTTTCAGATGGAACAGGCTGATGCCTGAGCTACTGTCTAACTAATCAGTCTGTCTTGACAAGTACATGTGAGAAATGCCTAAAAGCTATGTCAAACACTTAATTGATGTGGCAAGGTAAGACAGGTCTATCTTAGTGCAATTTAACTGATCCCATAAGACACCTAAGAAATATTAACAATAGGCACTTCTCAAATTGATCTGAAAGATCATTCTCATTAGAACACCCACATACCAACACTAAGAGCTGAAATCAACAAACATTATTTGACATTCCTTTTCCATGCTTACATCGCAGTTAGGAGTGACTGTCCTTAACAGGAACAATACATCTTTAATTAGGGTTTTTCAGTTGCATTTGAAGCAATGCATTTTTACACCCAAAGTTAGGATGTTATCAAGATCATAACTTTGGGAATATCAATTGGTTTAAGTACAAATGCAGTTGAGGACGAGACAAAGACCAAAGTGGTCTGAAAACTGGTCTTGGTCTCAAGTACTACAACACTATTTACAGAGATCAAACAATTTACCTAATTCCCCCAACAGTGTTAAATGCAGACACATTTCATCCAGTCAACATGAGCGAAAGGAAATATTTGCTAAAGAGGAGAACTTGATGATAAAAATTTCAGACTTTCTTGCAGTTTTGCTCTGGAACACTTTGATTTTACTGCAGATGTTGTGGCATTGGGAGCCCAATTACTTATTGGTAGGCAGGATATTTTGGATCACTAATTTGGTTAGTGCAGTTAATCCTACACATTAATCATCTTCTCACATTGTTTTTCTTTGTCTAATCTGAGTTATGTCAGCATGTTTCCAGCTCACTGAACGTGTCTGTGTGTATCTGCTGGTTCAGAGTGTCTGGAACAAAGGATGTGTCCCACACTGTCCCAGACACCATCACCACCTGGGAGACGGAGGCTTTCTGTTTGTCCCCTCAGGGGTTTGGCTTGGCTCCTCGTAAAGAGATCACCGTCTTCCAGCCCTTCTTCCTGGAGCTCAGCCTGCCTTACTCCATCATCCGGGGGGAGCACTTTGAACTGAAGGCAACCACCTTCAACTACCTGTCCAGCTGTATCATGGTAACCAATGCTTTTACATGACCTAGAAGATATGCATGCTAACATGCTGATGTTTAGCAGGTATATTTACCATATCCACCATTTTATTTGAGTTTGTTAGTATGCTAACAGTTGCTAACTGGCAAACACAAAGTACAGCTGAGACTGGAATATCATTAGTTTTGTAGGTATATTACAAAGAATTGGGCAGACTTGATCTGATGGTGCTAGATTAAAAGTTGAAGGATCAGCAAATGTATTGCAATTCATCCTCTGGTGGAAATTTTCATACCAAATTGTATAACTGATCCTATGTATGCAGGTTATGGTCTTATAATCCCACACTACTGATTTGTGACTAACCCATACTTTTCTGGTCCGTGGGAAGCCCTTCAACATTTTAATCAAACTGCACACATGCATTACTGCCATTGTCGTCTTGTGTTTAAATTGCATAGTCCTAAAATGCAATTGTTTCTTTTCAGGGACACTTGGATTATCTGGAACATTTTTTTTTTTTTTTAAATCAAAATAGACTAGACACTAGTGATAGCTATAGGGTTGTAATCCTTGAACATCTGGCTTTTTGTACATGTACATTGAGTCTAAACACCTCCCTCTCTATAGAGGAACCAGGCCAGACTATCCTTGGTCCCTTATTCCTCAACGCAACTATCACTACTTTCAGAGGGCTAAAGTGATAAATACAGATTCTCAATTTGTCATATTTGCTGATCTCCCTTTATTTCAGACTTCGATGAATCCAAACATGGATGTACAACAGAACTTAATTTGTTGGGTTATGAGTTGAAGTAAAAGACAAGTCTGCTTTTTTCCCCATTAAACAGATTATGATTATCAAATCCCTTCAAGGTGGAGTTAATGTTTCAAAGGCACTTTACATACAAGTATTGAAACTTGTAATTGACATTCCTCTTCAGCATGTTATATTGTATTTGCCATAAATCCAGTTATAAAATGTTGTTTCTGTTGAACAGGTCACTGTGACTCCAGCACCCTCTTTAGACTACACCCTCACTCCGCTCTCTGGTGACCAGTACACATCCTGTTTGTGTGGCAGTGAGCGCAAGACCCTCAGCTGGACCATGGCCCCCTCAGTCTTGGGTGAGGATCAAGCTTTTATCCACACTGGTGTCAAATGTTAAAGGGTTGCTGTCTTTCCTTTTCATCTCTATGAAATCAGTGAAATACACCTCAGTGACACTTTGACACAGGATCTGAAGAAATTGTTACTCAAGTTTCACTCTGCTTGTTGTTTTTTAGGGGTTGTGAATGTGTCCGTTACTGCAAAGGCTGTGGCATCCCGCGCTTTATGTGACAATAAGATTGTGAGTGTTCCAGAGAGAGGACGTATCGACGTGGTCACACGATCTCTCATAGTAAAGGTTGGTACCTTAAAAACAAGATGACAAAGACAAGTTTATCCATTAACCATTATTTTTTGCATTTAATACAAGCTGGAAACTTTGGAAGTCACATTATTTCTTCCTCTCAGGCTGAGGGAACTGAGATCACCAAGACCTACAACTTTCTGCTCTGCCCAAAAGGTCAGTATGGTTTACACCAGGCATGGCACATTTACATAAAGGAGAGCCAAATGCTGTTAAGAAACTAAACATGTCAAAATACAATGCACATTCAGTACTCGCAGGTAGAAATTAAATTCATAGTGGCATGTTTAGCGCAGGTGTCTCAGATTATTTTAATGTCACTACTTTTATATTTACCAAATGAAGAGCTGCTCATACCCAAAGAACCCCAATTCATCTTTTTCCTGATTTTGTTTTAATCCACTGACATCCATTCAACTAAAATTACATCTTAGTTCTAGTACGGAGTTTCTCTCAAGTGTGTATTCTGTCTATACACAGGGAAAGCTGTGACCGAGCAAATACAAATAACACTCCCTAAGAACATGATTGATGGATCTGCCCGTGCTTCACTATCAGTCCTGGGTAAGGTTCATTTTAACTTTTGCTTTATACTAACACATTTTGGTAAGTTAACAGGCTTCCCTCCCCTGAAGCCTCAAAGGCATCAATAACAAAACGGACTTGAATGGATCCTTTTAAAGATCATGTTTTGCTTTATCCATTGTTAAACTGTTCATGTAAACATGAAGCAAATCTAAAGATCCCTCTCCAGACATGTTTGAAGATGTATAAATAATACTCTGGATCACCGCCGCCACATCAGGCACACCCTCAAACCAAGCTAGTCTGAGCAGAGACCCTTTGATTTTAGGTAAGCCCCTTTTCCACTGCACAGTACCAGCTCGACTTGCCTTTGTTTGGTTTTCCATTGTAGAAATGTTTATCACCTCTGTCGAGTTTCCAAGTGAGCTGGGGATACTAAAATGTAACGTGAAAATACGACAGACTGCTGATGGTCAGAATCTTCACTGCATCATTGCTTGCACCAGACAGAGGCCAGCAACAGTTTTATATTATAGTTTTCGTATGGAATTTCATCACTAAATCAACTTGAGACGTTTTGAGGTGAGAACAGCTGTGTAGATTTCAAATTTGTTTTGAGAAGTGATGGCAGAAGAATTTGCTTAAATATTTTCGGAGTTGAGGAGCTCAGCAAGTGGCTGCGGGGAAGCCTGCGCCAACCCGCAGGAGGAGCGTGTGAGGCCGGCCAGCCGCCCGCTCACAGAGCCCTCTGCTCCCACCGTCACACAGACCGCTGCAGCAACAACGGCAGAGGAAAACACAGCTGGAAGGTTTTCATACCGCTTATCTGTCTTTACATTCTGAGGAATGTTAACTTTAAAAAGATAAAGCTGTGTGGATCACGTGTGTCGCATTGAACATTACATTGCTGTGTGTGGCGTCGCTATGGCGACAAGCTACGTCCTATCTCTGTGTACTGTCTGCAGTGGAAAACGGAGTAGAGTCTATGGATTTGCGCTATGGTAGCATTTTTCGGCAAGGCAGCATAGATCATCAGAACACTGGCAACAGTTCAACATTTAGTCCTAAAAAGACGATGTAACTCCGACTCTGTTTGGGCCTGGAAATTCACAATCACAACCTGTAAGTATGCTTTATTGGCTGAATTTTATTTAAAAAACGGCAATCTAACTTCAGACTGTTCAAGTGCAGAGTTGTTAAATGTTGGCTAACATGGCTAAAGTTATAACTATAATGCTAACATTACACCTGATGTGAAAGCTACTGAGCAAACGTTCAAATTGTTTGGCCAATTTTTATGTAAATGAGTTGAAAAATGGTTATTTTGTAGTTTATGGTAAGATGTGGAACAATGACGTGTGGTTGTGGACTTGAGAGTAACTTATACCATCTGCTAGGTTACAGTCTCAGTCTGAAGCGGCTTTGATTTGGATCACACTACCTTGTTTCTTACGACCCAACCTTCTCTGCTTCTGATTGGCTAGTAGTCCTTACCTGGGAACTGCGCATGCGCAACTCCCAGCAAAGATCTTGTACAAGATGTATCACTCTGTAGCTCAAGAGCAGAGTGTACAACACACAGGGTGAAAAGAGGCGCTGCAGCAATGTGCAGTATGAGGAAATGTTTTATTGAAAATTAAAGCATGTAAACCTGTTCTGGTACAACCCCTAATTAAGATTTTGAACCTGAAAATGAGCTTAATACCACCTCTTTAATGCAATGGTTTTTTTTTTTGTACTAAATATTAACCCCACCCCCCATCCAAGAAACTTGTAGCTACAGTGCCTGGGAGGACAAGATGGCAGAGTTGCCAGTCAAATCAGGTTATTTACATTAAGAAATTGTTTACTTGATTCAGTAAAACCATATGTGAATATTAAACAGCCACACCAAGAAATGAAGTGTTACATGTCTCATTTTACTGTAATACTTTTTGTTACATCTTGGGAGGGATGGCTCATCTGGACTAACATTGTTAGTTTTATTGCCAGTCAGTGTTTTTCTCAGGAAGGTAACGGCACATTTCTGTCCTGTTGAAAAGCCATAACAGTCTTGTAGAACTACATTAAATTACAATCCAACTTAAGAGGTGTGTTCCCCCCCACAGCAGTAAATTTAGCTGGCTGATCTGCGCTTTATCTTGTGCTGCACTACGAGAGCAGATGACAACGCTCTATTTGATATGCTCTCCTCATACAGAGGCATCTTGTGGCCTCAATCATAAAGCAGCTTATCTGAGAATTACTGCATGACCTACTGAAGGAGACCATTGATGAACACTGGTATAGGATGACAAGTTCATTTCTAAGTGTTAGTGTTCGCAACAGTATTGACTGTTTCTGCTCTGCAAGGTAGTGTATGGTTTGTGCAATGGTCACTTTCAGTGCATGAGCAGAGAAGTTAACCCACAGGACAATACACTGACCTAATCTCATGAGTTACAAACCACAGCAAGAAGCATGTGTGCCCAAGCCATTTTTAGTACCCTCTAGGAACCCTTCCATTGTCTTGTGGATTTGCAGCATGTGAGTGTCTAACTGATTGCAGGGTCTTAGTGAGTCAGTGTTCTTGTGCAGGTGACATTCTGGGCCGAGCCCTGAAGAACCTGGATGGGCTGCTGCAGATGCCGTATGGATGTGGAGAGCAGAACATGGCGCTCCTGGCCCCCAACATTTACATCCTCCAGTACCTGGAAAACACAAAGCAGCTGACCGCAGCCATCAAGGAGAAGGCTACCAACTTCCTGACCAGTGGTGAGTCTCTGCTAACTTCATAAACATTTGATCTTTAAACATGACAAATCTCCCACCTAATAGTCAGTGCTGCTTAGTCACAATATAAGCAGATCTGAGTCACTGCTTGATGGTGCTCATCTTTGCCACTAGAGGTCAGGGTCTGCTCAAAGTTCAGATCCAAATTAACTGCCTCGTGTTAAATTCAAATTGTCCAAGTTTGACTTGGTGGAGGAACTTTGTGGCTATTGGCTTGTGAACTTAACTTTCATGACTTCCATTCAATGAATTTGCTCTTTAGCATCCCCAACATAGCATCTAGCTGAACTTGGTTGTGCATTTCCTCGTTCTCTACCCTTTTATATCCTGTCAGCTGTCCAATGAAGGCACAGAATTTCCCCAAAATGTTTCATTCAAACTTGACATCAGCAAATTAACCTTAAATCTAGGGCTGGGTTGGAGACACATGATGATGGCAGAGGACTAGCTCTGCCTGCACTGACAATGTAACTTAAGACATTGCAAAAGTTGCATTTTGTTGGACCACTCTGTACTCCGGGACAGAAGAGGCCAGGATACCCCAAAGTAGCACAAATGTGGTAACCAGAAGTTGCTCTTGCATTTTACCAAGGCTAGCACAAAGGCTAACAAATGACAAGGTAATGGTGCCAATGCAGACATATTCACCCAGCAGGAGCTAGCCGCCAGCACCGCCCCCACAGCTACTGACATGTCTAGGCTGATCAAAGATGCCTCCGAAGTACAAGACTGGAAACTCAGAGATTAAGAGGTCCCCATTTGCAGTGGAAAATGAGCAGAGGGCGATCTCGAGCTTCTAATCACATTGAGGCCGGCTGACCTTCCTTGAGGAAGCTAACCAGGAGTTACAGGAGAAGCCACCTGAAACTGGAGGAGGTTGTGCTGCTTAGATGTAAACTGGCTATTAAACGGGAGAAACGCCTACATTTTGTTGGCTTTCCAGAGGAGTGTGAGGGGGGTGATGCTCAGGCTTTCCCCTGATATTCCAAAAACATAGATCGGTGTGAGTGGGTTTAGTTTTATTTTTTGGGAGGCTAGAGCTCAACAGAGCACACAGACTGGCACAAGACGTCAGTCACACGGAGGCCAAGGGCTCTCATTGCTAGACTTCTGAGATTCCAGGACAGAACCCATCGTGGAAGCAGCACACAAGGTTTCCTGGAATGGGCACAATATCATGGTGTCACTGACAAAAGTCCGCTTCAACGAATGCAAGAGCTTACTCCACGATCATCATGTGAGGTTCTCCTTGTTATATCCTGCTGTGGTCATCATTCAGACACTGGAGGGTCACCGTGAATTTGATCCAAAGAAGGCACTTGCCTATATTCATTCCCTGGGTTAGTGCAATGCGTTCCCCTTTACACCTGTATGTCAGACTGTAGTGAAGTTGCAACTGAATTTTTTTTTTTTTCTTGCTGCTTATCCCACTTATGTATTCATTACTCACTGCTATGACCAGGTTGTACATCAGTTGCTTTTGCACATGTGTTGCAAAGATTTGGAAAGTGAATCATTAAACAATCGGCTGGCAAGTTAAGTAATTGTTGTTAATGTGAACGCATTAAGTAGGCCTAATTAACGCCAATAGTAACCGTTTACTATTAAGTCCATTGCTCACTAGCTCTGAATACAGTCAAACCATGGGTCACAGAACAGGTGGGATGTTGATCAGCCACCCAACAAGCAGCAGAGGGAGGCTGCAGCAGACTACACTGGATGTAGCATGTGGGAGAAGTAGATGAACAAAGCAACCTGTAGCCTTTCATTGCTATTGTGTAAAGGCAGTACTGCTGGTAAAGGGCACCTTGTTTAAAAACATTGTGGCGTGTGTGTGTGTAGCGATATATTTAAACTGAGAGTGAATTCACTACTTTAAAACTCATAATTTTACGCTTAACTGCGATTAATGGCAATCGTTTCCCAACACTTAAAATCCTATGAGTGTTAATGTCCTAATAAACAGGTTTCTATTTTACAGGCTACCAGAGACAACTGAACTACAAAAATGGCGAGGGTGCTTACAGCACATTTGGAACAGGAACAGGGAACACTTGGTAAGAACACCTGATCATCCACAAAGAATAAATACGTTCAAAGTGTGCAACCTCTAAAGTTGCACTAAAATGACCTGATTCACTAATGGTGTAAATTGCAAATACAAAACACCATGAACAAACTGAATTTTGTCTTGCAACTACAAAACATGGCATCAAACAAATGCACAACACATCTTGAAGACAGCATGTCTTACAAGGACAATACTATAGAAACTGACTTTCTGCTGTGATTGTATGTAATTTCTTGCAAATGTCCTGAGAAATTTGCCCTCCACCACAGCAGGTGGTATGAATCCATTTAAAAGCACAAACAGGCTGAGTAGTAAGTAGCTGCAGTTTCAGGACCACAATCCTAGGACCAGAACTGCATTTCTAGGACCCTTGTTTACTGTGAGGCTGGCTAGCAATGTTGACACCCCCCGAAGCCTTACCCTAACAATCACAGGGCGTTTGCCTAAACCGAAGTTAATGATGCATGATGACCGGATAACCCTACAGTTGCACACATGCTGGCAGACGGGGTTAACCTTGTGTTGCTGTGCATTACCACCCATCCACTAGATGGTACTGTCACAAAAGAACTACAGTCCTAGAACTGCAGTCCCAGGATTGGGGGGGTCCTGAAACTGCAGCCTCAGTACTGCAGGTACATAATACTGGGCAGGTTAAACAGAGCAGATGAAAGCAGCATCTTGCACAAGAGGATGGTGTTCTGTCTAGGTATGCAAGACCAGCGTAAATCAGACAAAATAATGGCTATATGAACAAAACGTATTGTAGGGTTTTGGAAGACATGCTAATGTTTCTAAAGCATGATGCGTTAAACGGTTGTATTCATTAGGAATGTTTTGTATTTGCAAAATTTGGTGTTTGTAGCTTCACTCTGAGCACAATCCTGCAAAACTTTTTTGGATAATAGGATGACTTGACATACCACCGATGTGTTGTGAACACAATGCTTCAGGTCTTTGCCTTACCTCATTCATTAAAAATACATATGCTTAAGTGGCTACTACACTGACATTACACAGATCAAGTGCTTCCTCTTCACTTCATTGTATCAGTTATTGTTTGACCTTGTTTTAATATCCTCAGGCTGACTGCTTTTGTGCTGAGATCTTTTGCCAAAGCACAGTCTTTCATCTACATTGACCCAACAAAGCTTGCTGAGTCTAAGTCTTGGCTGGATGGTAAACAACGAGAAAATGGCTGTTTCCAGCAGCTGGGAAAACTCTTCAACAACAGAATGAAGGTCAGTCTCTGTATGAAAATGCTCCCCTCAATATCTATCAGTTGTAACTAATGCTAACCTGGGGCAGTGATTTGCAACATGAGACTTCACGGCTGACATTTAACATTCTTGCATGAGCATGCGAGAGCTCTGGACTCTGAATCTTTTGTGAAACAGGACACGCCACCATTTGCAATCTGCATGTAAAGCTGTGCTGAAAATCACTTGAATCTGGCGCCTGTGTTTTGGAGCTACAGTGATAACGTCTGCATGATGCTTCCTCTCTACAGGGTGGTGTGTCTGATGAAGTGACTCTCAGTGCTTACATCACTGCTGCCTACTTGGAGATGAATGTGCCCCTGAATGTGAGTAGACTAAACATGCCACAAATCTCATGCTGTTATGACTGTAAACTTGAAATTTCCTTTACAAGACACAAGCCAACATACATATTAGAATAGTTCATGTACTTTTATACAATGTGTTTTGTAAAATACATTTTCTAGCATTTGTCTCAAATCTTGTGGTTATTTGTTTCATACACTGAATTCTCCCTGGCTGGAGATGGTGGTCATTTTATATTTAGCATGGGAATTGGGTTAGGGTATTGTCATAGAATAAACTTGCTTAAATCAGTTTAGTCCTGAGCTCATTTATTATAATGTGTTCTTTGAATCTGTTATAGGATCCTGTGGTGAACAAGAGCCTGTCTTGTCTCAGGGAGTCCATCAGTGACTTTAGCAACACCTACACTACAGCTCTGCTGGCGTACGTCTTCACCCTGGCAGGAGAAACGGAGACCCGTGCTCACCTTCTGAAGCACCTGGACACTGTTTCATCAAACCAAGGTGAGTCATCCTCCTGAAGGAAATCCTTCTGGCTTCATTCCTGTGAATCACAGCTGTCATTTATGCTGGGATGTCCCCACCACACTTTGGAATGGCATATTTCGTCTCAATTTTTAAGCATTTGTATAAATGTCAACAAGAGGTGTTGGAGTGCTTTGAGATGGTTTTATTTGCACAATGAAACATGCAATGCAACTTAAATGTAAAACAAATGTGCATCTTCCAAATTGCAGCAGATTACTGCATTATATTAAGTTGTCACCAGCTGAATTTCTTTAATTTCATATAGACATTTCTGCCATAAATTAGAGCAGAAAGTGTCTCCAGAATGCAGATGTGGGACTAAGTAATAATTTTACAAGTCTCCGGTCACAATGCGCTCTTCACCAAATTTCAAAAGTTTTTACAAGCTAAAAATAAAATGGATTGAAGCATTAGCCTGCGTGGGAGGAGGGGAGCACGTGACAGTGAATTACTCGAGTTGACGAAGTTGCGTTACAGAACGCTGAAATACAACCATGGTGTGTTGTCAGGAGATGCAGTGACAAAACTATAAATTGCTATGTTAGAAGATGCAAAAAACAATGGATATCTTACGAGCACCGATCCGGTAAAACAACACTAAACACACCTTAGGGAGGGACAAGCGCCTCAGCTGTGAAAGGGGTGTGCTGGATTTATAAAGTGGTGGTGTGAAACAGCATCTGGCGCTATCGGTTTCAGCTTACTACACAACCCATTGTTGGGTACTGGGGTGTACACAAAGGGTTAAGCCAGTTGAAATGGTGAAGCCAACCAAAGCCTGCATGGATAGTTCCATGTAGCAGAATTACAGCACTTCTGCTGTTGTCATTAAACCACGTTATGCTGCACAATTATGCGCAGTACACTGGTGCCAACAGAAGTAACCCTGTAGTATTGGTCAAATGTGTTCACTGCTCTCCATTCAAACCAGCAGGGTGGCTTCATCCATTAATATACTGTCTATGGGGTGTACAAGGCCAGGGACAAGAGATCGTGGAGCAGGCAGCCGTGACGGTCGGTGATTGGTCCTCCTTGATGGAGGAAGCCACACGCTCCAGTCTGAGATCCGTGCTATGTTGATGCGCTGCGCAGTGTTTTTTCTTAACATTTTATATTTGGGCATGGAGTGTCAAGTAAGCTCAACTCAAAAGGGTGAAGTCACTGTCAAATTGCAAGTCTTTGATTTTTGTCAAGTCTAAAGGAGTCATTTTTGTGACTCAAGTCCACACCTGCCAGAATGCAGGAAATGAAGTGTCTAGTGCTCTAATTTTTCTGGGTAGGACCTCAATAACCCTGCTTGTACACTGAACAAAATTATCCAGCATCTTTGTGATTTGAGATCCGCCACCTGGACAGCTGCTGCAACAATCTGTTTGCATAACAGAATTTCTGTCAGGAGCTGTTTCAGGGATGCTAATCTGCATGCTCGTCCTCATCGGGGTCTCAACCTCAATGCAATTTTGCACAGCCATTAAAGAGAAGTGGACCAGCATTCCACAGGTCACAATCAACAACCTGATCAACTCTATGCGAAGGAGATGTTGCACTGTGAGGCACATGGTGGTCACACCAGATCCTGACTGGTTTCCACCCCCCCCATACAGTGAAACTGCACATTTTCAAGTGGCCTTTTATTGTGGCCAGCCTAAGGCACACCTGTGCAAATACCCATGCGGTCTGATCAGCATCCTGATATGCCACAGTGACGTGAATGGATTCTCGGCAAAAGAAATGCTCACTAACAGATTTGACAGACTCATGAACAATACTTGAGAAATAGCCCTTTGTGTACAGAGATCTTTAAGTTCAGCTCATGATGATGAATGGGGGCAAAAACAAGTGTCTATAATTTTGTTCAGTGTATATTGGCATTTCATGTTTCTTTAAAATATAATCTTGCTCTTGTGTATCATCATCACACCCCTAGTCTGAGTGCTTATATCCCCACTACTTTTCAACAGTGACACTCTTGCTGTGAATGTGGCTCACCCTGTGCCTGTTTGTCTGTTTGTGGATGGCTGTTTTCAGGAGGTTTCCTCTACTGGTCTCAGACAGCGACAGAAACGTCAGCCTCTCTGTCTGTGGAGATCAGCTCCTATGTGCTGCTGGCCAAACTCAGCGGCTCTCCCACTGCTGAAGACCTGGGCGCCGCCACCAGCATCGTCAGATGGCTGACGGGCCAGCAGAACTATTATGGAGGCTTCTCCTCCACACAGGTACAGCCCAGACAGCTGGACTTCACAGTAAATGTACAGTATTCTCTTCTGGCCTGTTCATCTGAATATGATCAAGGTAGGAGCAGTTATTTGAAATGTCTGTGTCTTAGCTGTGACTTAATACTGAATTCACTCTTGTGAAAGCAGTGCAACTTCAAAAGGCCAACTTGCATTGGCTAGGTAAACAGCCCTACTTTCATCTTTGTCAAAACACATTTTTCAGCATAACTAGCTTTTTAAATGTGGTGGTCAGCTGATTAAGTAGGATAATTTTCTCAATCTATTAGAACTAAATCCTTAAGTTCAAAATAACACTTGCAACATACATGATTTCACCATATGACATAACATATTCTCAGTGTTATAGCCCATTAACTAAAACTAAGCATACTGTCACATTTTAAATTGTAATATTACCTTTAGAGATGGCTAGTATTTGTTCCTGTACTAAAATCAGCATTGAAATTTATAAATGGTTCATCCACTTAGTTTAGCATATGCAGGAATTCAAAGTCAGTTTCCATTTGGTTCTAAGCCCATAAAGTAACTGTTGTGTGTTGTAGGACACGGTGGTGGCTCTCCAGGCTCTGGCTCTCTACGCCACTGCAGTGTTCAGTACAAAGGGTTCCAGCACAGTGACAGTCCAGTCTCCCAGTGGCCAGCTGACATTTGATGTGAATCAGAACAACAAACTGCTCTACCAGGAAAAGCTGCTGCAGCAAGTTACAGGAAAGTACAGCCTGGAGGTGAAGGGCTCTGCATGTGCTTCAGTGCAGGTCAGTGATCACTGTCACTGCAGCACTTCCTGTTTCTGACCTACACAAACACAACACTGCAAACATAACCATGTCCAAATGTTAGCATCCCAGTACTAATACAAACTTTAGACCCACCAATGTCTCCAGTTTAATGGGTGGTATAGTTTGTTCCCATGTGCTTTCTTGCTCCAAATAAAGGGTCAAATCTAACTATTAACACCGCTCACTTTAAATGAACATTACACATGTCCCTGTGTCCCAGATCTCTCTTCACTATAACATCCCAACTCCTGCTGCTGTCACCACTCTCAGTGTGGAGGTCAAACCAGAGGCCAACTGCACATCTCTCAGACCCAAACTCACTCTGAAGCTAAAGTCCCTGTAAGTAATCAACAACACTAGATCCATGTTACAGCAATGATTGAAGAATACTGTAATTTATGACAATCCTCTGAATCTACCAGCTACTGACTGTTGGGGGACAGACTGTGAGAAATGATTACTGGTATATTTGTATATGTAAAGATATATAGATAGATCTCTTTACATATCTCTACTGTAAATGAAGGCTTTCTGTCTCTGCATTCAACTACTAGAACTATGAAGAAAAGGATGAAGTCTAACATCACATTTTTCTGGTTGCATTGCAGATATAGTGGAACAGCAAGCACTACAAACATGGTGATCCTGGACATCAAAATGCTCTCTGGCTTTGTCCCAGACCCAGAGTCTTTGAGGAGGGTGAGTTATTACAGTGACTTTAACCTGAGTAGGAAATGAATAGTGTTCAATAAACGACCCAGCTGAATGTGGTCTCCTCACAGCTCAAAGGTGCCCTGCTGGTGGATCGTGTTGAAGAAAAGGAAGATCACGTTCTGGTGTACATAACGGAGGTGAGAGGGATTCACAGTGAGGAACAATAGATGATGCTCTCCAGATTTGTGACTGACGTGTCGTCTGTTTTTATTCCAACAGTTAACAAAGGACATACCTATCAACCACAGCTTAGACCTCCTACAGGAGCTCCCAGTGCAGAACCTGAAGCCAGCCGTGGTCAAGATCTATGACTACTACCAGCCAAGTAAGTCAGATACTCAGTCCTCTCTAATGCTCATTTACAGAGACCACACTGACAAACGTATCTGAATACTAATTTTGAGTACTATGTTAACCTGAATAAAAAGTTTGACTCTTTGTTTCTCTCTTCCCCCTCAGGTGACCAGGCTGAGACAAAATACATCTACCCTTGTCGTTCTTAAAATCACCAAAAATTCAAGAGGAATAATTAAACAAAATTAAGCAAAATGTCTTGTCTGTCTTCATAGTGAATTCTAGTCTCTTCTCTTGCAGTAGTCAGTCAAGTCATCTGATTCCAGTATAAATGAAAGGCCTGCATTTTATTATAGAATGTGACGTGTAACTCGATGTCGCTTTGTGTAGACATACGCAAACATGAATGTTTGCCTGTTGGCATGCAGCCACTGTACCGTACTTTAACTGTCTCTAAAGTGACATTCATGCACAATGGACATAAAATAGTGATAAAAATATTCCACTTAAAATTGGTCTTGTGCCTTTCTGCAGTTTATCATATAATTTCATCTGCAGAGCAGATTAATGTAGGAAGTGGAACTGCATACAAAAAGCATAGTGTGATGGCTTTCATAGGATTCATTCAAGTAAGGTTAGATGCACAACTCAGTTTTTGCTGATTAAAAGATGAGCCTGACAGAGTACAAATATGATACTTTTGTCTACTATACCTCAGTGCAGGGGCATAGCACAATTCTGGGCCCTACATAAAAAGTAGCCTGAGGGCCCTCTTGGTCCAGTATAGTTGATTGTACTCACCTTTTTCTTTTGAAAATTAGTTGGGACCCCATTTTCCTCACTTTGCTTTTCTCCCTGACCTGTTAAAAGGGTTTAAGCTATAACAAACACTTGTTAGGACCATATAAATGCTTGGCCATCTTGACAGTCAGCACAGCTGTAATTCTTTGAACAGCTTGCCACCGTGCCTCTTGCTGTGTTCAAGAGTGAAAGATTTGACTGAAATTTAAACGAGGCACTAGTTACCTGGGTACTGGACTAGGTGTAGATTGTTGAATTTTTAACAAGCACAAGGTAATCTCAAGGGTGGTGTTTTGGCCATCTGCAGTCGTCTTAAATTCTTCACTCAGCTTGAACTTGCTCTGATTTCTTTGTAATAACATTGAACTCACGAAGCTTTGCACAAAATTAAAGTCCTGGGAAACTTCCAGGTCAAACATTGTCGCAAAATGGCATGCTAGTGTCCCCTAAAGATCAGCCCCGAGCCACGTTTTCTTTCAATGTGCAAAATTTGTGGCAGATTTATCTTGTCCAGACCTACAAAAAGCCTCTTGAATTAATGTCCTAAACCATGGGTGTTGCTAGACATAAAGCTCCACTGGTACAGTCAAGACTACTGAACAACATTACAATAACTTTAGTAAAGGGGAACATATTACACTCTGGAGGGGGCTAGAAGGAGCTTATTCTGGCACAACGGCATCCTGTGCTGTAGAAATTTGCATATACATTGAAGAGAAACTACTTTAATGTTAGTGTAATTCAATAAAGTTTTAATCTAATGGCATACTGTTAGTTGTAATTTTATGTAGGCCTAATAGTATAGCCTCATAGCCCACCAGAGGTATAATAGTAATTCCACTTGGACAAAACAGAAGTTTCATATTTGAGTTTTCATTCAATACTTGTGCAAGGAAAAAATTGTGTAATAACATTAGATAAAATGATTAAACTGAACATTTTTCACGGTGCTCAATTTCTTTGTGGTCCTAATTTTTTTTTATTTTTTTTTTTTTTTCTCCATTTATTGCTCTTCTGGAAAAAGCTTGGGGGAGCCTGGATCTACTGAAGAACTTCGGCATAGCACTTAATATCTAGCAAGTGTTGGATATAAATTATCAGCTCCATCAGGGCCCCTCCTTTAATAAATTTGTGCCATCACGCCTGTCTTGTCTGGACTAGTCCCACTTATATTGCTGCTAGAATGGGCGAGTTTAGTTTCATGCAGGTGCGTGTGAACCCAAGTTGATGTGCAGCTTATAAACACCATGGCCGGTCGGGGGTTATCAAACGTAATAAGTTGTATTTCAGTCTAACATTGTTCAGAGACAAAGTCTGTCTAGCAACCAAAACACAGACAGAGCGCACTTCCCAGCTGGGTTAGCAGGACAACCAGATTCACTGTGGCTAATACATTAACTTACTGTTATCTGCTGACATCAGACTTTGAGAGGCAAGAACACAAGTTTACCTGACTGCTGTTCCCAAAAATTCTGTATCTGTCAATAACGGACTCTAACGTTTATTGAAGCTAATGTCAAAACTTGCATGAAAGGATGATGTGATAAAAGGGCCAGGAGTTTAGCATAGGGTACACCGGACCATTTTAATAGAAAGGAAAGGAGATGATGCCGTCCTACAATTCCTTGAGGCAGCAACTTTTAAAGCGACGCACGTTCTTAAACTCAAACAATAAAATCCATCAGCCACATTTAGCAAAATGTTGACCAAGTTATCATTGGCTATTAAGCCTTTTCTCTCATGCCATAACTTGCTAATATGCGTAGTCTGTCTTGAACGGTCATGCAAGCTGTTACTAGTCTTGTGAAATGATCAAAGTGAGGATAATGTTGCAGCGTGTAGGCTCACGTTATTTATCAGCAGCCTACAGCAATATCATTAATTTTACTTCAGTCACAGATGCTGACACACTTGCCTTAATAAGGGGGATAATCAAGCTGGATGACCTCTGCACTAAATGTAATGTGTTTTTCAGTGTCTCCCACACATTGATTTATTTGTGGTGACCTGCCACATGTTGATTTCCAATTATCGTTTTCTTTTTGCTAGGCTATGGGTTAAATCGTAGGTTATAAGATTACAGAGCTGCGCACAGCACATATCCGCCCAGCACCACCTCTCGCTCGGTGTCTCTCGCCACAGTTACGCTGTCATTCAGTGGGAAACACTGTTTACCTATAATAATTGGGATTCATGTTGATAAATATGGGTGGGTAGGAGGATGAGTGTGAGCAAGCATTCTCAACGTGACAAGAAGTGTTGTAGTACTCGAGACCGGTCTTGGTCTCAAGACCACTTTTTTATGGTCTTGTCTCTGACTCGACCGCATTTGTACTCGGTCTGGTCTTGGACATTGAGGACTCAGGATTTAATTCCAAGACTAGCCAAGACCACTACTGATAGGCTCTTCTGTGGAGACAGTTCCTTGTGTGGAACATGTCATACAGATTGCCCACCTCCTGTTAAGAGTTAGCTTTATTTTAATCACTAACTAATCAGATGAACGGGAAGCTGATCAAAAAGCAGACTTAACACTGTCAGAACATTGTCTCCGGTGCAGATGTGCTTCTGCTCGTCCACCTCGCACAACCTGGCAAACTTTAGGAAGCTGCGACAGCCAAAGTTGTTCTGGATGCCCAGGTGGTAGCAGGAATGTAGAAGCACGCAGTGGCCACAAACAATTGTACATTAAGATACATACACACAGCTAAAACAAGGACAGCAAAGTATAAACTCCTAACTATCAACATTAGGTAGGTATGAAAATATATACATACACATAATGTACTGTGTGTATGTCTGGGACTGTAAGTTGCAGTTCTTGAAGATGGAGCCGAGATTAAACTGTGCAAGTCTCATGCAGACCAACAAGAATCTGGTCATGACAGTCACTTTGATGTCCCAGGTCCATCATCCCCCAGCTCTTGACCCCCAGGTAGTTTTGACATGACGACATGAAGTGATATGACTTGTTTGCAGTTTTAACACAAATGTCACTCGTGGAAAGGTTTTTCAGGGGTGCATCTGCATCCCCTTTTGCGAACCTAAACACTTAAAATATTAGTGTAAACTGGATTGCAACAACATTATTAAAGTTTAGGCCTAAGTATTGACCATATACAGTTACAGGAAAAGGTATGTGAACCCTTTGGGATTACCTGGAATTCTGCATAAATTGGTTATAAAACGTCATCTGATTTTCATCGAAGTCACAACAATAGACAAACACAGTCTGCTTAAACTAATACCACACACAAAATTATGTTTTTATTGAACACATTGAGTAAGCCTTCACAGTGCAGATTGAAAAAGTATGTGAACCTCTAGGCTAATGACTTCTCCAAAAGCTAACTGGAGTCAGAAATCAGCCAACCAGAAGTCCAATCAATGAGACAAGATTAGAGGTGCTGGTTGGAGCTGCCCTGCCCTATAAAAATTTTTTCATTTTGCTATTCCCATGAAGCATTGCATGATGTGTACCGTGCCTCGACCAAAAAAGCTCTCAGAAGACCTAAGATTAATTGTTGACTTGCATAAAGCTGAAAATGGTTACAGAAGTATCTCTAAAAGCACTGATGTCCATCAGTCCACAGTAAGCAGACTGTCTATAAATGGGAAAAGTTCAGCACTGTTGCTACTCTCCCTAGGAGTGGCCGTCCTGCAAAGATGTCTGCACGAGCACCATCAGAATTCTGAATGGGGTTAAAAAGAATCCTAGTGTCAGCTGAAGACTCACAGAAATCTCTGGAACATGCTAACATCTCTGTTGACGACTCTACAATACATAACACTGAACAAGAATGGAGTTCATGGGAGGACCCTACAGGGGAAGCCACTGCTGTCTGAAGTTTACAAAAAAACACCTGGATGTTCCACAGCACTACTGGCAAAATATTCTGTGGACAGATGAAACCAAAGTTGAGTCGTTTGGAAGGAGCACACAACCCAATGTGTGGAGGAAAAAAGGTGCAGCACACCAACATCAAAACCTCATACAATCTGTGAGGTATGGTGGAGGGGACATCATGATTTGGAAGGATTGCTATCATCTACTGAAAAATTTATTCCAAAGTTTATCAAGACATTTTGCAGGAGAATTTTATGCCATCTGTCTCCCAGTTAAAGCTCAACAGGACAACAACCCAATGCACAGAAGTAAATCAACAACAGAATTGTTTCAGCAGAAGAAAATACACCTTCTGCAGTGACCCAGTCAGAATCCTGACCTCAACCCAACTGAGTTGCTGTGGCATGACCTCAAGAGAGCGATTCACACCACACACCCCAAGAATAATCCAAAATTCTTCCTGACCATTGTTCAGGACTTATCTGCAACTACAGAAAACATTTGGTTGAGGTTATTGCTGCCAAGGGTCAACCAGTTATTATGTCCAAGGATTCACATACTTTTCCCACCCTGCACTGTGACTGTTTCCACTGTGTTCAACAAAAACATGGAAAGATATACTTGTTTGTGTGGAGTTAGTTTAAGCAGACTGTATTTGTCTATTGTAACTTAGATGAAGATCAATTTATGCAGAAATCCAGGTAATTCCAAAGGGTTCACATACTTTTTCCTTCACATTAATGCACAGTTCTCTCTGTATGTATTGCACAGAATAACAAGGCCCATTATTCAAGCTGGAGATCTTCCCACTAACAATTCAGTCTGATTTTATTGAATAGTAAGTCTGTAGACCAAATGTTAGCAGTGATATTAAGCTAAATAGTTAACTGGTCCACATTCATGAATACACTCTGTGACACCATGTTTGAAAATGAAGACGCCAACCCCTGCTATGATGGCATTTATCAGCATAGTTTGTCAGTAAAAGGACAGACCAAATTAACAAAGAGGATCATCTACAAAATCAACACTGACACATTGAAGATCAGTCATTTATAGTATCCACACTTGAATTCAGTGAACTGAAATAAAACTGGACAGTAAGGTTAACCAACACAATGACAAAGCCGCCTCAAAGCAGCTTCCTGCCAGCAAGTGAATCTAAATAATGGTCTGCACTTTCAAGACAATGGTATATCAGATCAGTAAAATATCTTTCAATTCAACACACAACCACTTGAGGGCGCTAGTGCACAGTGATGAAGTTCTAGCTCAGATCCTGAGAGTGGCTGAAGGGCTATTTTTGTAAAAGAGCAGGGATGGGCTCAGTGTGATGGAACCTGTGCCTCTTTGCTGTTTGTTAAATTAAATTCAGATCGTCCATCTTGTTTTTACTGTATCTACATCCCCCCCCCCCCCCCCCCCCGGATTTACTGTTGATGCAGTTTGATTTTCTGAAGGTGGCGCTGTTGTCTTTTGGTCATCACCCTGTTTACTCCAAACAGAAAACTCACCACTCACTCCTCTCCTGACAAATTCAGATATTAGTTGTGGTCAACTATATACAAACATGACACTTGTTTTAATGCATATGTTTAAGATAAGGAACGGTGCTTTAAAATCTCCAAGCGGCCTGTTGTATAGATCTAATTTCTGGGGTTTACACAAGTGAAAAGAGTAAAGGTCACCCATGGTATGTGAGTAGTTATATTACATGCCGTCATCCTCTTAAACTGTCCCATAGACAATATATTGGTCATCACAGGCAAGAAATGTGACTTACACTAACTGCCTTGTATCAATCAACATTTGGGGGTACTAAAGTTGAATTATAGTTTCATTTTATTCTATGTATATCATATGTTGTTTCTTGAATGTGTTCTATTGTTGACACTGACTATTCTGTCTCCTGTGATTTTTTTAATACCACTTCTATGACCTTTATCTATGTGTTCATTCTCCAATGATGGCCTTGTCTAAATATTGCAGCTTTAAGAAGAAACACAAATACTAGTTTCAAAATAATTCCCCTATAGTCATTTGTTTAGTACCACATTACGCTATTCAAAATGAGGTCTTTTTCATAGCAAACCTTTTGACTTGTCATAGCAGGATGCTAACCAGTATTACTAATAAAATTAACAATGGCTCTATAAGTGTCACAGCAAGCCATCCCAGGGAGCTTGCATGCCCAACAACAGGACCACTTTACATTTCAAGTCCTCTACAATAAATTATACTTTTTACCCATCACAGCTTTAGTTACTAGTTACCAGGCCTGTTTCTCTGAGCTCATGAAAACTTTTTCATAGATAGGTGATTCTCACAGGACAACAACGCTGCAAACGCGATGATCTTACAGAATATGATTATTGCTGTAGATTAAACTAGCCTTCACTATACAAAGTAGCTACAATTTGCTTAACCTTAAACATCTACAGCAGTTAAATGCAACATATTCATGCAGCAGCGATATTAATCACAAAACATCAAATAGTAAAACAGTACTGCACAACGACTAGGCTACTTTTACTTTTGATACTTTAAGTACATTTGGTGATACTACCAACAAACTTTTACTTCACTGAGGTGGTTGAGTAGAACTTTGACCTGCTGTAAAGTATTTACTGCGGAAGTAACACTTGCTCCACCACTGCTATCAACATAACGAGGGCATCTGCAGTGTCAGGCCAGCTACAGATGAAACGGGACAAGACAGATATCATTATCAGCAGTAACACAATGACATCATATTGGACGCCTTCTCCGGGGTACCTCAGTTTTTAGTGTTTTTTATTTCTAAACAATTTGATAGCATCCCATATAAATATGCTACAAAACTACATATAGTGTTACCTAAAAATGCTGCTACTTGAAAGGAAGTTAATAAATTTTTTTTTTTTTTTTAATCGTTTTCAGCTCACAAGTACGTCACTTCCGGGATGTATGGTAGAGCAAAATGACAGCTGGTTTGTTTTTATCACAAGGAAAATTCAAAGTAGACATTAAAGGTATGTAAAACGACGACCTTGTATTTTATGCGGTTTTTTTTAGACGTTCTGTTAGCAAAGTGTCATCAACTAGTGATTATTGATACTATATTTATATCGTAACCATCTGTAATCCGTCTCGGGCTCCATCGAGCTGCTGCTGGGGGTCAGACTATGCTGAGTCTGGACTGGACACTGTCTGTTACTCAACAACTGGCAGTTTGACCTTATTATTCACCAGTGAAATGTTTCCTTTAGCCAGAGATATACTGGGAAAATGTGTTGTTATTCTCTGTAGAGGGTTAGCTATACACTTTTTAGGAAGATAGCCAAACCCCATTCAAAAACCTGTCAATTTTTAGTTGTCTGTGCCTTGTTGGCCTACCTATAACGTAACAACACCACTGTAAGTGTTTTACTAATCACAAACAGATATATATCAGTTCGGCGTAGATCTCATAGAAGAAGTGTCACTGACAACAATAAAAAAAATCTACTTTTATAATCGGTCTGCCTGTGGTTGCTAGGGCCACTTCTCACCAAGTAACACAGATAGATGTTACTTGGTGAGGGGCTGTAGCTAATAAAGCACGTATAAAAGTTAAAATCTTGTCAAAATAACTATGGCCTCTTCAAAAGGGTATATACCGAATTTACAAGAATTCCGTGTTGAATCGCAGGCCGTCATGTTTTAAGAACTGTTAGATGTGTACAATTACCGATAAGCAAAGAAGAATACAGTTAGGATACTTTTAAAGGGCATTTGGCATAGCGGGCTTGCCAGAAAACAGAAGAGCCGAATTCCGTTAAAAAATCACTTTATCGGCCGATGTAAAACGTGACAACACCATTTAAGATCATTTTACGTATCACCAAGCGTTACATATCAGGTCGGAAATTTAAATCTAGTAGAATAAGTAACACAATATTGCAGTAAAATATCAACTTTTATTGTATGAAACATGTCTTGTTTGTCGAAATTTCGTTCAAATAATTATTGCTTTGTCAAAAAGATTTTGCGGAAGAACTAGAACTTAGTGCTTAATCAATGCTATTATGTTTTATGAAAGATGTGTGCCTTTACAGACAGGCAGAGATACATACAATTGTCAGAATTATAAAGGACCGGCTTAGCAGACTTACCACTTAAGAAAGCAAGTCAGAACAATATTTATGTCTAATAACTTATTTTCTACACTACACTAAAGTGACTATCTTACTGCACAATCATCAGTCATTAGGATATTGTCACTGACAGATGTTTTATCTTGTTAACCCTTTGTATATTCGCACTGTGAAAGCCGTTGGGCTGCTCACAATGGCACTCTGCTGTTCTTCTAAGAAATCTAAATGTGCTTCCACGTTCTTTTGATTATATTGATATTGGTTAGTGAAAAACAAGGCGGAAAATGATCTTTGACTTTGTTTGTTCTCTAGTGTCATGTGGTGAACGCCCTCCAAGTCCTCTGTTTTCGGGCCTGTCCAGAGCAAATCCTGGCAACTGACCAAAGATTGACCAGCATTTCTTCTGGACACATCTGTCAGCCCCACCAGCCACTCTGGAGTAAGACGCTACTGACAATAACATAGGGCCTGTCTTTCATCTTCCAAATAAACAGCTTTGTCTTGTGTAAAAGTTAATGAAAATGTTAATTAGTTTCAGTTGCAGCGAAAGAACAAATACATATGTTAGTGGATACGAAATGAATCAGGTAACTCTTGATTTCTTTAACAGGCCATCAGTACAACCACAGAAGAAGACAGCGAGTAGTGATAGTGGTCAAATCAAGGGAAACGTCTCTTCAGGTAAGACGCCTTCTGCCATATCTTCTACTATAAACATATACAGTTAGAGAGGAAAGAAAAGGTTTAGAAATAGGTGTGATTTCGCTTAAACAGGATACTGGGTCAAACACTTAAAATGTGTGTTGTATTGGTTCTGTGTTTTATATGTCTGTAAAGATAACTATGACGTTATTTGAAATAACTTGATTTATTAGCTAAAGAGTAACAATGTGCTTTCATACATTACCAGAATTTATTGCCGCCCATTCTTGTCAAATAGTATATTGTAACAAGATCCTTTTATTTTTTTATTCCAGCAAAACCACTACATAATTTATGCTTCCCTGCAGCAGATTCCACAGCGAGGCCACGCGTTTTAAAACACCCATGCTTGTCATTTTAATTATAGCAACTGAAGTTATAAGTTAGGTCAAAAAGGGGTTTCTTCACAAATCTATTTTTATTTTTAAAGGCTCAACATGAAGATCAGATTTCTTGTTTCTCTCCTCTGGGCAAAGTCAGGGATATTTAAATGTGTCTCTGTTGTTTGCTGATAAAGAGCTGAGGACGCCTCCTCGTGTCTCCCATCATTATTCATACCTCTCTTAAAAAGAAATGCAGTCCTTTATCAGACCTCGCCATCCTTGTTTTTCTGTATGGATGGCTGATCTATACAGGTTAAAGCTTCATGATGGAATGAAGAGTTGTTGTAAAACTGCAAGTGAATGACTGAAATGAATGGACTGATTGCTGTCTTCAACGGGACACTAGTGTTTGACATTTTAGACTAATGTTTTGCTGTGTGAAACCAGCAAATGAACTGCATAATGAAGTCCAAATGCTGGGCCCTACTGATTATTGAGATATGAATCCCAGTTTCCACACTCATGGACTCATAGACTTCTCAGACTCAAATGGCAAAGTGCATGAGGGCTCTCTCCTTTAATGCACACTTTCCGTAGGTCCGCATCTCTGCAGACTTTGCCTGAGGAAATAACTCACAGTTTATAGCATTGTGACGTTAAACATGGGCTACCTTGTGAAGCCTGGAAGCGTTAGAAAGTAAACTAACATGGCTCAACCACAAGGAAAATAAGTTCATGTGTAAGTGTATGATGCTGTTTTGTTAAAAAAGATCAATTGATTATTTAGAGGGTAGAAGGTAGGTTTATTTGACACATTACAACAGGTTGTAAAGTGAAATTAAGTTTGTATTTTATAATGACCTGGAAAACGTTCAAATCAGGCAGTCGTTCCCTTTAGTGCCTCGGCCATGAAGAATGTAGAACATGTAAAATAAATAGTCCCAAACCCACAATTGTACCTAACATGTTTTGGCGTCGTCAGGGTAATGTGATATGTCGCAAAGTGCTGTCCCACTATACCATTTTGGGCCCTTGCAGCCTCTCACACTCAAGCACTTACCCGGTGACGTCATGTAAGTCTGTGAAGGTTCAGGGTTTAGGTTTTAGGGTGGAGGTTGGGATTGGGCCTTAGTGTGGATTCCTGTAAAAAAGAAGCAATTGGAAGACACCACCTGTGAATGCAATTTCTCACTCAACAACGTTTTATTAAATAATCAAAAATTATCTGATTTGGCAAAAGTAGCGCTGTTAAATGTGTTTTTAATTGCAGTAGAGAAACATGTGACTGCAGTGAACATCATTACAATACATGATGGAGAATCATAGCAGCAAAGGTTTTGTTTTATGTTGAATGTGGTCGTTTTTGTGCAGATCACTCTTTTAAAAGACACCATGGGCCGTAATGCACGGAAACTGTGGGAACCAAGCTTTCACTCCAGCTTTCAGCCGGTCTTTACATCTTAGATTATACATAGTAGTATAAACCAGTCTGGACTACAACTATTTTGACAACTAATTAATCATTTTAAATAATTTATCTTTTATGATTCTAGCCATTTTTGTCATACCCTATCACTATTGGCAGTAGTGTATAATGTATATAGTAGCAAATGGGCTTGGATTGCATGGTTAAAGCATGGATGTCTGTCTCCTACACTGCTGACCAGCTGAGGGGGGGGGCTGTTCAACGGGACGGAGCCATGCAGCCTCCAGAGGAGACGGAGGGCCGTTCCTTTGTGGAGGTGATGAGTGAAAAGTACAGCCCAGAGAACTTTCCGTACCGGAGAGGGCCTGGTATGGGGGTGGTGGTGGTGCCCACCACAGGTCCTCAGGGTTCCCCTATGAAAGGTGAGCTGGAGGTGAATAGTGATTGGCTAATGATTGTTGATCTCACTTTCTTACATCACTAGCGCCTCTGTAGAATGGGCCGAGGCTTGTTACATTTATCTTATTTACTCACCGGCCACTTTATTAGGTACAACTTCCTAGTACCGGGTTGGACCCTCTTTTGCCTTCAGAACTGCCTGGCATACTTGCAACAAGGTGTTGGAAACATTCCTCAGAGACTTTGGTCCATATCGACATGATAACATCACGCAGTTGCTGCAAATTTGTCAGCTGCACAACCATGATGTGAATCTCCCGTTCCACCACATCCCAACGGGGCTCGCTTGGATTGAGATCTGGTGACTGTGGAGGCCATTGGAGTACAGTGAACTCATTGTCATGTTCAAGAAACCAGTTTGAGATGATCTGAGCTTTGTGACATGGAGCATTATCCTGCTGGAAGTAGCCATCAGAAGATGGGAACACTGTGGTCATAAAGGGATGGACATGGTCAGCAACAATACTCAGGTAGGCTGGTACGTTTACATGATGCTCTATTTGTACCAAGGGGCCCAAAGTGTGCCAAGAAAATATCCCCCACACCATTACACCACCGCCACCAGCCTGAACTGTTGATACAAGGCAGGATGGATCCATGCTTTCATGTTGTTAATGCCAAATTCTGACTCTACCATCTGAATCGAGACTCATCAGACCAGGCAACGTTTTTCCAATCTTCTATTGTCCAATTTTGGTGAGACTGTGTGAACTGTAGCCTCAGTTTCCTGTTATTAGCTGACAGGAGTGGCACCCGGTGTGGTCTTCTGCCGCTGTAGCCCATCTGCTTCAAGGTTGGACGAGTTGTGCGTTCAGAGATGGTATTCTACATACCCTGGTGGTAACAAGTGGTTATTTGAGTTACTGTTGCCTTTCTGTCATCTTGAACCAGTCTGCCCATTCTCCTCTGACCTCTGACATCAACAAGGCATTTTCGTCCACACAACTGCCGCCCGGATATTTTCTCCTTATTGGACCATTCTCTGTAAACCCTAGAGATGGTTGTGCGAGAAAATCCCAGTAGACCAGCAGTTTCTGAAAGACCAGCCCGTCTGGCACCAACAACCATGCCACGTTCAGAGTCACTTAAATCCCCTTTCCTCCCCCGTCTGATGCACGGTTTGAACTTTGGCAAGTTGTTCTGACCACATCTACATGTCTAAATGCATTGAGTTGCTGCCATGTGATTGGCTGTTTGGCAATTGAACAGGTGTAGCTAATAAAGTGGCCGGTGAGTGTATATGTTGGTAGAAAGGGCAGCAGTTGTGAGTGATTGCCAGTTACCATTACTTAAAAATACAGCAAGGCTGAATTCAAATGTGCACCCTCCGAATTTGCTGACTGAGCCCCGGTGAACTTCTGTCTCATTAACCGTGTCGTGTTCAAGTCTTTAAGGACGCTTGAAGTGTGCAATTAGATGGACTGAAGACTTCACTCACTTCCGTTGTGATAAATCAAAATTCTTGACCCTGTAACCTATTTCAAAAACAAATTTTGAATGGTTTTTAATAGTACTGGTATTCACAATTTATGCATTTATAAACCTCATCATTATGTCTTTAAAAATAAATATTAAAGCTTATAAATTGTGTGTAGGCAGTAGACTGGTTGTTCTGCTCAAGTCTGGTGAAATCTGCACACCAAGCGGACTCTATGGAAGTCTGCAGAAAGTCAGATTGAGGCCCCTTGTGTATTTGACCAGTGCCTAATCTAGACATTTGAATTCAGCCCATGTCTTGTTGCTGCATTGCATTCTTGTCTTTTGAGGCATTTTGGTGGACCCATAAATGCAAGATCCATCCTTTTGTTCTTTTACTTCAGGTAGAAGAATAATGAACCAGGGCTTTTGACAGAGGCACAGTGTTAAACAGTGTTGTTAAGCTTGTTTTCAGTAAAGCTTTACAATAGTTACACTTGTTGCTATTTATTCTTGGAACTTCTGTTATCATGTCCCAGTGGTTGGTTCTCATCTCCTTCTTGTTTGCAGCGTCAGCACAACTGTATTATTTAACATTTGTGAATCACAGTTGATCCCAAAATGCATTGGCCTTTACAAACTGGCTTTGTCTAACAGAGTACGAGTTCTCCATTTAACTGTTATACTGAAATATTAGCTGACATTTTACAGCTTTCTTTTGGCTCATTACATTTAATCTCAAGGCTGCTTTACCCAAATAAAGAAATCCTTGAAAATCTTTTTCTCAATGAACTTTCCCCCTGTCTGACTCATCCTTATTGTGATTTCCTTCCATCCTCTCCCGCCTCACCTCCAGACCGTCTGAACCTACCCAGTATGCTGGTGTTGAATAGCTGTGGGATCCGTAGGGCAGGAGACCAGGCTGAGATTGCTGCCTTCTGTGCCCATGTCATTGAGCTGGACCTGTCACATAACAATCTGCAGAACTGGCATGAGGTGCTGTCTCTGGGTTTATTACAGTAGATCATTTCCATTTAAGGATAAGGCTGGTGATATTCTATATTTTACTGACAACTGATGTCTCATACTAACGAGTATTTTGTGTGTATTCAATGCCTCATATATGTCATACCATTAACTAAAATCATGTATTTGTGATAATGAGGTACAAATTCTAATGACCAGTAACTATTCTGCGGCCTCACTGTCATCCAAAAAAGTGAAATCAGTCTTCTAGTTTTCTGTTTAAAATATGTAGGTTCAACATTTTTTGACTATACAGCAGACAAGACAATTATGTGTTTTTAATTTTTTATTTTCAGATCAGTAAAATCGTGTCCAACATCCCCAACCTGGAGTTCCTGAACCTGAGCTCCAACCCCCTGGCAGGAATGACCCTTGAGCCGCAGTGTGCTGAGGCCTTTTCCCGGGTCCGACGCCTCGTCCTCAACAACACCCAAGTGTCTTGGGACACCGTGGTGCGACTCACCAGGGAGATACCTGAGTAAGAAGAATATTTTCTAACTGCTTCTTCATTTCTCCACAGGCTTGTGAGGTGATTTTGGGGTGTCTCGCAGAAGCCGAGCATGGGGACAAGTTTTCACTGCTGTGCTTTTGAGAATGAAGAGTAGACATTGCACTTCATTTCACTGGCTTGCCCACTTTGAGCTGGTTTAACAATTGTGTGACACAAAAGTCTGCCTATTCTTGAGAGTGACACTGGAAGTTACTGTAATTCAGTACTAAAGTGGGCTGCTGGCCTTAGAGGGTCGGTTTGCTCAAAGACTAGTGGGATCTATCCATGCAAATAGTTTGTTTTATTTGTCCAGGTTTTGACATATGTGCCTCTGACATTTCTGTCACCGACCCAATTTATTGGAAGTGAATGAAATCTATCCAAAAGACCCTGGTTATCCACAGAACACGCTGTGAAAACTGTCTTTAAAACTACTTTCTTGTTTGTGTTTTTGTTTTTGCCTCTTTTTGATACCATCTACCCTCTGTAAAGTAACCATCCGACTCTGAAGATTTTAGACCCATCATATATAACGGACACACATAAGCCTTTCTTGATCCCCACAGGGGAAATGTGGGGGGTGCAGCAGCACAAAGGAAGAGAAGTACAATTAAATAGAGAAAAAATAATTAAAGAAGAAATACAAAGTAAAATAATAATTTAAAAAAGAATACAAATAAAAACTATACAACAGCAATTTAGAAGCAGTAATAAAAATTACAAAGCAATGCGATTTACTTATAGTACCCTAACAGTGTAGTTCCGTCTCTTAGCAAAATGAAATATTGGTGTTATATATGTGTAGTATATTAGACACCAAATGTAGTATGATGGAAAATCACATATGAGATATTATATTCATTTTATTGTAATATTGTATTCATATTCAAATGTAAGAGTACTGTAAGTAGAAGTAAGAGTAATAATATGATACAAACTAGGGGCAAGTTTCATGAGTTGTTAAGGAGCTGCTTTCTGCTGAAGAGAGAGTCCTTCCATTGTCTTCAGAAGGGCCACTTCTTCAGTCTCTTCCATTGTACACAGCACAACAGTCCTCTTCATCCTCCCCCACCCTGTTTTCTCCTGTGTTGTCCTGCAGGCTGGAGGAGTTGTTCCTGTGCCTTAACGAGTACAGTAGTGTGAGTACCTCCAGTGTGGCCTGCCCCTCCTTGCGCCTGCTTCATATCACCGACAACAGCCTCCAGGACTGGGCCGAAGTCCGCAAGTTTGGCTCCATGTTCCCCGGCCTGGACACTCTGGTCATGGCCAACAACAACTTGGCCTCCATTCAGGACGGCAAGGACATCCTGCAGCGGCTCTTCCCAAACCTACGCAGCATCAACCTGCACAACTCAGGTCAGTGGATCCGAGTGTTGACTTGTTGGGCGCTTCTAATTTAGATTTTCCAGAATGAGTATCAGCTTCAGTATGTAATGGTTCAGTATGTAATGTAAAGTAACAGCTGATAGAATTAGCACAAGCTGTCACTGTATGCTAAAAGCTCAGAGTTATTTGTAGAGTATTACATTAGATTCTTCACTACATCAGCTTTTATCTCAGGGATTGTTTCTATTTTGAGGGGGTATCAGCAGTGAATCTATTTTTAGAGTTCTTTTGAGAGTGGATGAGACAAAAACAGTATCCAAAGACGTGTTCAAATTGACGACAACACATCACTTTGTCATATCTCTTTTACCTAAGGCAGAAAAACATCCTTCTTGCAAGTGGTGTGTTTCTGATTCAGCCATCAAGGCTTATTTTTCTTAAAACGAAAACATATTCTGCCCACAGGCTGAGCTCATTTCACTGGTTACCAGTGCACTGTTGAAACAAGAGATTATAAGGCAGCAAAGATTGCTGGTGGCAAAAAGATCAAGATTTAACATACTTACTTTTAATTGTCAACAAATTCCATGAAAAGACCAGAACCAAAAATAAGTCCATAGTTTGATATATCGACTTTCCCACCCTGTCTATGTTTCTCAGCCTCAAAACCCATTACTTCCTACTGAAGATTTAGTTTTTAAAAGAATCCATAATTTCCAAAATTTGCTGAGCATTATAGTTTATAACAAACCAAAGTAAATTTGTAGGGGATATTTCCAGCAACAGTATGTGGAATTGAGTCAAAATAAACTACAGTGTGTGTGTGTGTGTGTGTGTGTGTGTGTGTGTGTGACGATTGAAAGGATGATCAGCGATTGGTTTTTCATGCGCCGATATTAAGGCGATTTTAACTAACTCACTATCAGAAGTAAGATGGCATAAAAACAGTCTCTAGAATCTGCACCACACTGCAGTGTTTCCCATTTATTTGTGGTGACGGGACACGCCACAATATCACCGCCACATATACTGTTTAATATGAGTAAAATCATAACTCACTGTGGAGCTGCATGCAGTACCTCCATTTGCTCGCTCTCTCACTCCCTCTCTCTCACAAACACATTGAAACGGAGTCGTGTGTTTAAAGAAAAACTAATGCATTGAAGTCATTTCTGAGAAGTTAGTCTATCTATTTTCTTAACACAACACCGTCGGAGACGGATATGTTAACGTTAGAATACAGCTGGGTCGTCAAGGTTGACATTGCTGCTATCGATTGCACCCTCCTTCTCCCTGCTGCGCGTGCGTGGTGCCACAGTTACACGGTAATTATGTGGGAAACACCGTACTGTGCAAATAGAAAATAGAATGGATCGCCCAACCCTAGTGCGGCTCAGTGGAGCTCTATGACACAGAGGAATGAGAAATATCAAGCTTTCGATACACACACAATACTTGTTGAAATACATTCATTATGAGTTTTGGTCTTTTCATGGCATTTCATGACAAATAAAGAATATCACCTTATTATTCTGTAAGCAGAGGCATACTTTTCACATTTTAGCAGTGCTTGTTTACCTTACTTATCTTGCCCTTTGCAGAAACTGTCAGCCAGTTGAAGGACTGGGACTGGTGTCTCTGTCAGATGAAAAGCTAAGCATCTAAAATCTGTGTTATTTATTTATTTTATGGCCAGCATAGTCACAGCTTCTGAAAACAAATGTAATTTTACGTCACCAGCCAGGTAGCCAGCTGGGTCCTCTCTTTTGAGGCTGATTATCAGTAAAGTTTGTTGTGTTTCCATATCAAAGGACCAAATGTGAGATGGATTCAGTATGTGGCATCCAAATGTCTATGTTGTGGGGTGCTAACTTAGGACGATTTAGGCTAGGAAGCAGTGCTCAGACTAGGTTTTGACTACTGTAAGCACACATGACATGTCATGCGTCAGTGTGCATGAGTCAGTGTGTCAAGTTCAACAACAACTGTACATTCGAGGGAAAAGCCATTGTGGATGCCTGGGTCGTGGAATTTATCACTAATCATTAGTGGACAGTGTGGGTGTCATTTGATCAGGTTGTGTGTGTGTGTGTGTGTGTGTGTGTGTGTGTGTGTATATATATATATACATGCTCCCATCTGCTATTACTTAACATACTATACAGTAAAGCTTTAGCAAATAGCTTGGACAGAGTTATTGACAGAAGACACCATACAGCTTTAGCCAATACTTGTCTACTGTCGCTATTTCTTCATCTTAACATGTCTGTGTGTGTTGCCAGGTCTCAACCGATGGGCCGACATTGAGAAGCTGAACTTCTTCCCTAAGTTGGAGGAAGTGCGACTGCAGGGCATTCCCTTACTGCAGACCTACACCAACGTAGAGCGACGCAGCCTCATGATAGCACAGTAAGTGAAGGAAGCATAGAAGCCCTGAGAGGCAAGTGAGACAAAATCCAGTGATCCATTTCCTTTATGGCTTAAGAACAGGTTAAAAAAGTTATTTGCCTGGATAATATCTCTAAATTCCTTTTTTCATCTGTGAATATATATATGAGATATATATATATATATTATTAGAAATGAATGTGTTGAAACAGAGTTTTATTAAGATCTAAGGAAGAGCTGAATGTCTATATCTAAAAAGTGAAGGGAGGCATCACGTCGGCCCCTGTGAATTAGCTCTGCACTGGTGCATTTTATGAAATATTATACTGTGGGGCAGAAACAGCTGTTTCATCATTAGTGAGTGTAATTTTACACCTAACCTGGGGCATGTGTAACTATGTGTAACTATTTAGTTGTTATTGAGAGTTATATTGTAACTTACCACTGTAGTAAAAATGCTTTTATTTTAGTAATGCATAAATCACAACTTAGTAAAAAATTACATTATAAATAGGCTAAGCTTAGAACTTAAAACAACAAATACTAAAACAGTAACTTAGAAAGATTATCCTGGCAGAACTTTTTTTTCACTTGTTCTTAAGTACAACATAGGAGAGAAATAGATCACCAGAATTAATTTTTCTCACTTGCCTCTCAGGGCTTCTGTATCGCTTAATAGTTGATCAAATGTTTTGTTTTGCATCTGAACAACAGAAGGCAATAATCTGGTACATTTCATATTCAGAGTCATAAATACCTGCTACCCAAATGCATAATACAGTATGTGCTTCCCCTTAGTCTCCCTTCAATATCACTGCTAAATGGCAGTGTTGTGACTGATAGTGAGAGAGAGGACGCAGAGAGGTTCTTCATTCGTTACCACTTAGACTACCCTGAGGAGGAGCTGCCTTACAGGTATGCTGCACTCTCTGTTTCTACCCTGACTACAATAGTATGTTTGTCTCATGTGTGTGTGTGTGTGTGTTCTGACTGACAGCACAACCTGCTCTTTTCCTCCACAGATACCATTGCCTGGTAACCAAGTACGGGAAGCTGGAACCACTTGCTGAGATTGACCTCCGACCTCGCTGCCGTGCCCAGGTGGAGGTTCACTGTGAGGGAAAAGTGGAACAGGTGCGTTAAGCATGTAATGAGGTATGGTTCTGAATAGTGTACAAATGTAGAAAAGCTTGTCTCAGTTACTCAACACATCAAGCTGTCCAGTTATACTTTCATGATATGTACTAAGTATGTACTTAAATCAGATAGGTTGTTAGTTACGGCACGGTCAAATATAAATGACGTAGATGTGTCATGAGCACCCTCTTTCTGTGTTGACTTGTGCTTGGAGACACGATGAACTTGTTTGAAACGTTTAAATAAATAAATGTAGCCTTTTCTATGTTCTGCACAGTCAGAGGCTCACAATGAGGACTGCAACTTCTGTGAAACCTTCCGCTGTGAAAGACTAATCGATCAAACACATCATGGGATTCCACATGTAAATCCAAAATACACAATGTCAAAAAATGTAATAACGATTAGCAGTAAGAATAGTAAGTTGCTCATATTGTGAGTTGTGCATGGGAGGTGGCATATAACTATGAATGTTCAATATCAAATCTGAAGCACTGGTAAGTGTATATAGTTAATTCAGAATGATAATGATTATTTCCAGGTCATTGCACGTAATGTCCCAACATGTACCGTAAATCAGAGAGTCTTAATTGTAATCCATGAGAGACGGTAAAAAAGAAAGAGAGACATCTGTGATGGTTTGTGTTGGTCAGTCTGCTGTTGATGTTGGTGCTCATGAACAGTACATCGTGGAGAGGATGAGGGTCATTGTCTATAATGCTCCGCAGTTTGTGCAGCATCCTCTCGGACCAAAGAAGCTCCAGCTCCACTCACCTGACAGAGCCAGACTTCCTGTTGCCACCAATTCAAGATCAACGAACGAAGGCTTAACTGTACTTTTTGCCTTGTTTTTGTCCTGAAGTGATGATTTTGCCACTGATGGAGTTTCTGATTTATGCCAGTTTGTTAGCTCGCTTACAGCGGAATGTAGTCTCTCATTAACATTTCTGATTTTTAGCTTATATATCTTGTAAAAGCTAACATTTGGAGCGCCAAATTGTTGCTAACAGTCGTTAGTTAAGTCACAAGACCAAAAACAATGCAACAGTAAACATGTTGTCCCTAACATTTCCTACGTATTCCCAATCAGTAAAAGTAGTAGTGTAGTTCTTCCACTGGGCCCTTTGTGCAATTTTAAGTAATACTAAAAGTTTAGTATAAATCTTATTAGAGAACGGTAGTGTTTATGAGGACCGGACAGCTCTATTTTTATAGCATTGTCATTGTTTTGTTCAAGGTTTGCATGACATTTTATTAACCAGTCCATTCTCAAAATTGTAGACACAATTTCTCTCAACAAGATACAGTGTCTGCGTTCAGGTAATCCAGTCTCTGCCCCTTCTGGACATTCCAAGAGTGTAAACAAATTCACTTTTAATAACAAACTATGCACATTTAGAGGAAAAATACTAAGACTGGGAAGCAGGTTAAAATGAAATGGTGTGCACCCTGTGCCAGGGTTATCTTGTGTTTATCAGTATAAACGTAGCTATGTCCTAAAGCCACTATTTGCAGAATTTTAAAAACATCCGGACGTTGTTTTTTTGTATTTTTGCACTTTTGAATTAAATGTCTGATGTCAGTTTAATGCCTAAATTGTAGAAACTGTTTGTCTTTGTGTCAGCTAAACATCCGTTTGGACCAGACAGTTGCTGAGCTGAAGAAGCAGCTGACAACAGTGGTCCAGCTGTCCACCAGCAACATGAGGATCTATTACATCGACAAGTTCAGCGCCTTCGGTCCGGAGGAAATGAAGTACAACACCCGGGCTCTCCACTCCTACAGCATCCAAGACGGTGATGAAATACTGGTGGTGCCCAAGACCAAGTGAACAGCTGGTGTCCTACTGGCTGATTAGAGTGACTTATTAATTGATTGATTTATAGGATTATTTGTTGATTGGTTAACTGACATCACAAAATAACTGTGAAATGCATATGGAACAGAATCAGCGGCCCACTTGGAATGGAGAGAGTAAAACAAGAAAGTGATGGGAACACCTTCATGAAGACTGCATGGTGGACTACAGTGGGTCACTGGGAGGCTCTGGCTGGAAATGCAGCCAGTCTGGAGTGAATTTTGTCTTAATTTGTTTCAAGGTTTTTTTTGAGGGGCATCCACTGGATCTGTCACACTGGAGAGAGCAACTCTCAGTCAGCTAGAAGCTTAAACAGAGGAGAGGGCACTGCTGTACAGGCGGAGCAGCTCTGTCTTTTAGTACACGGCATGTAATAGTACCTGCATAGGCAAGCATCCAACCCCAGTGGCTTGACCTCTTGTCGCAAAAGTACCCTGGTTATTAGTGAGGCAGCGCTGCTGAGCGGAGAGGGACTGCTACGTTTAATGGCTCTTTTAAAGTGGGCACAATATCAGCAACAGCAGCAGCAGCAGCAGTTATAGGAAAAAACAGTTAATGCAGGGGGTGGTGATGAAATTAGCATTTTTTGGGTCCATTTTCTTGTTTTTTTCTCCATATCTCTGTGGATAATTGTCAAAGTTAGAAGATGCTACATCACATTGAGATCATTTTACAAAATACCAATAACAAAAAGCAAGGGATTCTTTCTGGAGCCGTAATGACAATCAACAATCTCTACAAAATTTATTATAGAAACTGCAGATTTTAAATCCTAAAAGATCCCTCCAGAGGTTTTAAGACTACTACTACTGTACTCGCTTTGAATAATTTGTGTCTAAAATGTTTTTTCCGCAAACAAGTTAGAAATGGTTAAATATATTTCGTCCTTCTCCCTCATTCAAATTCCAGAATCTATGAATGTGCTAATATTGTTCATTACATTCATTACATTAACGGTCAACTGCTGGAGTTTCCACGTCACATCCACATCATTTTTGGCTGGATGGGGACTTTAAAGAAAGTGGAAATAGGTGAGGCAGGTTAAGAAAAAATCAAAAAGTAAAATTACACCCAGTTGATGATAATATGTCTTTAGGAGTGCAATGATCCTAAATTGATGATATCTAACAGTGTAAACTTTCTGATGTTTTCCTCATCCTGTATGGGGTACCGGTACCGTTCCCTATATAACCAGAGTGAGAGCTGTGTCAGTATTCTTGGCAGGAAGTCACATTTTCAGTGGGTGTCCGTCAGGGTGGTCCCTTTTCACCCATTCTGTTTGTGGATAGTATGTCTAGGTGCAGCCGGGGTGGAGGAGAGTGTCCGATTTGTGGACCTGCTCTTTGCAGATGATGTGATTCTGTTTGCTTCATCAGACTGTGACCTTTAACACGCACTGGGGCAGTTTGCAGTCGAATGTGAAGTGGTCGCGAGTCTGAGGCCATGGTTCTCCAGCAGAAAACGGTGGATTGCGCCCTACAGCTTAAGAGTGAGTTGCTGCCCCAATCAAAGGAGATCAGGTATCTCGGGGTCTTGTTCATGCATGAGGGTGAAATGGAGGCATTAGATGGACAGGCGGATTATTGCTGTGTCAGCAGTAATGCTGGCGTTGGACTAGCCTATTGTGGTCCCTCATTTAGCTTACATGGCTATGTGATTGTAGTAGTTTTTGCTGTTATCTATTTCAGATAATTATTTATGCTTTTAAGAGGTTAGCATTCCATTTTTTCAGTGCTCCATTTTTTTGCTCTTGTTTTACGGACCTTTAAATGTTTAATCATATTTATTTTCCAAGATTAATATAATTAGTAATTTTCCTTGAACAGGCACTGATCTCAGTTCAACGGTGCATGTGAACGCACCGTTGAACTGCCCGTTATTCAGTGAAACATTCCTTTATGCCTACATCAGTGTTTCATCTGCTCCACATTAGTGTAGTCATTTCACTCTATCCTGCACAGAAATACTTCCACCAAAGATAGCTCATTAGAGTATTATTATTATGTGGAATATATACAATATGTATTGATTTTATTATACAGCCTCCATCTTGTATGAGAGGAGCATTGATGTTTGATGGTTTTGACTTGTTCTATAGCAAGCAATTTAGCAGAATAGGGGATTCCCGACAGTGCCCAATGTTATGGCTATAGACACTGTTGATTTTCAAGCCACAAAATTAAATATTCACATGTAGGGGTAGTTTGGAAACAAACGTGTGTACCCTCAGTTCATCCACTGCTGATAGAAAACTCAGCTTTTCTGATTTTACATCCCAGATATCAATATCTTAAGTGTGTAAATGCAACATTATATCCCTCCTTAATGTTATAATTTACCAGTTTTATTTCATAACACAACTGCTATACTTGAATATTTGAAGGTGTGGTATAATAAGACCAAGGAGTAAGGAGGTGTAGCAATGACACTCAGCAGGTTAGATGAAAAGAGTTACAGGGACCTGTCTCCCCCGTTTTATCACAGTAGTGCTGATTAAATGTTAGAGTAGCATGAACCACAGCCATAGCAACCAGCACGGAGAGAGGCAGCAGTGCTGACACCTACTTAAGTTATAGTATCTGTGCTGATCAGTGTGAGATTTGTTTGAAGTGTGGTGTGTAATTGTTTGCAGGGTGGGTGGTTTTTTGGTATGCATGTTATTAATTGACTATGTGTTTGCAAGGACAGTGGTCACTATGCCTGCTTAGATGTATGGAATATGAACTTGATGGAAATTTATTTTACATTAAGCCCAAGGAAAATATTTGTAAATTTATTGTTACCATCTAGATTTTGTTTTTTTTAAGAGTAGTATGTTTTCATGTTATTTGTTGTGTCTGTTAATTTCCTCTGGAACATTATTAGATTAGTTATTAGAAGTTTAACAAAAAACGCATCAGGAGTGTGTGGTTTGATTGGATTTGATTGACAGTGGGCTAGCATCACCTTTTTCCAACAGAAACCCGCCCATTCAGAACAGTGAGAAGAACCAAAATAAACCAAGAATACAGAGACTTCTCATGTGAAATAACATGATGATAATTGTTCTAACTTTGGAAGACAGTGATGCGTGTAAACAAAACCTCATTGCTCATAGTAACAAGCTGAAAACAAGGTTAAAATTCCACCCCAACACCCTTTAACACATATTGGCCCTGTATAGATTTTATTTGGTCATTGTGTTGTTTTGTGTTTTAATTGTTAAAACATCTGGTTTTGCTATCAGTCCCACAGAATCATACTGTGAGGCCTTTGTGAGTCGCCTTTTATTTGTCAACAGTTTTACAGGGAGACATCATCAGATAGGAAGAGATAATAATTCCACCAGCAGTAGCCTCAATAGACCAGAATGCATTACAACCACCGGACGTGTGGTGATTGTAGTTTTGAGTAAGAAGTGAATCGCTTTTTGTTAAACTGCCGCTCTGCTGCCACCATCACCATCACTCTAATTGCTTTCTCCACTTTCACGCATAATCCAGAGATAAATATGACATTTAAAGCGATGCTGTACTTTCACATTTTGTAAAATAGGCTTATGTGCTTTCTTGGAGAGAATTAGATAAAAAGGTCGATGTCTGTAATAATATGCCAAAATAATGCCAAATATGAAGCTGGGGGACACTTAGCTTAGCATTAAGTCTGGGTGAAAACAGTGGGCAAACAGCTAGCCTGGCTCTAAAGGTAACTAAATCTGGCTGGCTAAAACTGATTAATAAACATGTTATACCATGTTTGTTTAATCCTTTCAAAAACTCAAGTGTAAATATGGTTGCGATTTAACAGGGGTTTATTTGCTGGACTATTTCTGGCCTGGCCTGGCCTGGCCTGGCGCACTTTCTGGAGTCTACACTTTTAAATAGTTTACCACATAACCCCCATAAGTAAAACCACAACTAGTCATGTACTGTATACACTTATGAGCTTTGGAGGAGCATGTGGATTGTGATACCTTTGTATTGGACCAGGCTAGTTGTTTTCCTGTTTCAAGTTGTTGTGTTCAGCTAACCAAGCTGTAGCTTCATATTTAGCCTGCAGACATAAGAGTGGTGTTAATCTTCTAACTCACTGCCAGACAGCAAATAAGCATATTTCCAAAAATATCACTGTTGCTTCAAATGAGTCGAGTTTTTTTTTATGAATGAAATAATTAATTGAAGTAGTCGAACACCTCCTGATGAGTAACTGAGGGTGATCCAGTATAACCCATTACCTCCCTCTCTACTCCTCAAAACCAGCGCGGTCTGTTTGTATTGTAAGAAACAACTAAGCAAATGAGAAGCCGAAGACCTGTTTCAAAAACAGAAAAACTCTTCTGTTAGATTAGGGCTTGCCTGCTGAAATGGAGATCATTTATACATTGAAAAGCTCCATATTTCCTCTGCTTAGATAAATACTCGACACATAATGCTAGACATCTGGCAGCTTCAACACAGCACATCCTGTTTGAAAGGAAACCTGTGGAACTAAATAGATACTTGCTACTGGGTATATCAGTAAATACACTGCTTGAGTCATCATCTGCCGCTAAAAGTAGTGCACCAGAGCTCACATGGATTTCAGAAGGCTGTATTTGTCTTTAATTATAGTGTTATAGATTTTTGGTTGGACTAAATGTGCAGATTTTATCCCGCTCAGATTTACACACCAGTATTTAAGCTAATCAATTCACTCAACTATATGTAACACGGGACTGTTCATAATCTGTGGCAATTAAAGCATAATCATTTTTTGTAGGAATCTATATGAAGTATTAAATGGAACAGAATGAATCATCTTTCTTGTATAAGTATAAGTGGAGAAAGACGCGTCACTGAATGGTAATAAACGACAGTTTCCCTCCTCAGTGTGTGACACTTTGTTTCATTCACAGCAGCAGCATGTCAGGGGTCCGGGTGTGTTTCATACACAGATGGTTATACTGCAGTATGATTTTATGACTCATTCGCTTTGATGCAGATGCTCGCACACTCCAGCTTGAATAACTACTTGAGTGCTGGAACTTGGAGAGCTTAAAAGAAAACAAATATGATATAGGCTATTAGGAGATTGAATTAGAACTAATATAAAATGTATTCATTTAACAGCATTTTTCTTTCGTACTTCTTTAATTTTTAGACATTCAGAGCGTCACAAAAAACAGTGAGCTTTAATAATTTCTTCTAAAAATTGATTTGTATATAACATATTAGTGGCAAAATAGCCCATATAAAACAAGTATCATTGCACTGTGATGGCAAAAGATAAACGGCAATTCTCTCTGTGCTAGAGGGTACTTATCCCATATTAACTATTTATTTGTATTGACTTACTTAAATCCATTACTGTTAGTACTACTACCCACCGTATACTACTGTTAAATTATTAATAGCAATACTTTCCCGGGGGTCATAAACTACGAAACAGGAAAAAGATCACGATGTCATCTGTATTTATACCCAGCAGATATCAATATCACAGTATTTGGTGACAGTCCCAGTTGCATTCACAATCCGAACAACTTTTATGGTTAAGAAATACTATAGTATTGAGGTGACTGGATTTATTATGTAGGCATTGGTTTCTCCAACAGTTTCTCATTAAAAGCATGTGAACTTACTAGGTGGACTAAGCATTATTTTTAGCTGTATTTACCCCTGGAAAGTCTACTTGGTACTTAGCCTTACAACCACAAAGCTGAAGTAGCGGTGTTTCCCATATCCGTGAACGTAGCATTTTTTCAATGAAAGAAATCTCTGATGTTTACGTTCATCACCATGGCGACGGTGTAGGAGGCGGTTCGCCGCTGGTGACGCTAACAGAGAGGTATGAGCCAATCAGAAACTAGCTCTGTTACCGGACTGACGTCACAGTTAAAGCGAAAATAACCGTTACTTGGTTGTTGAAGTGTACAACTGCAAGGGGACAGAAGAAATGGCTGAATACCAGCGTAGTCTAGATTAAAGCCCATGGCGGTGTATTCTTCTATCCAACATTATAGGTCACCCTTAGTGGTGGTCTAAAAAGCAGCACAAACCAGCCATAAAGATACTTTTTTGGGGGGGGGGGGGGCGTTTCGTTTCCCGTTTGGATCGGGATGATCTCCAACTGTGAGGTGAGTGATTGCAGTTTACTGGCGTTACCTTTTGCCCTGATCGGTGCTATTTTCTCCTATGCACAGAAGCAGAAGCCAAACTCCCATCACACTCTGGCAATGTTACACTGCCTTTCTTGTCGCGAATTGATACAAATCTTACCGACCGCTATGTTACACATTTTAAAAGTCACAATGAGACGCTACATATTTCGGCATAACACATGCCTGCGAAACCGGTTTCTATATCTGTATAATTTCATGTTATAAGACAGGCACAGAAATTGCCCTACTGTGTGTTCTGGGGAAGAATAACAGCTGAACAAACTCTAAAAAGTTACAACGTTGTCGACTGCTTATTCTGTCGGATAACGTCACAACTTAATTAACGTTAACCATATGCCCAAGATTGGGGTGGTGCTTTAGTAAGATTAACGGTCCTAGCAATGTTATTACCCGTGAAATGTGTATGGTTTGGCTATAACTTAAGCAGTGCCACACTTCACTTCACCTAACGTTAACTTACACACCATGGTGGTCGGACGGTGGTCTCTGAACGCCGCTGCAGTCTTGACCACACCGATTCTGTAGTCTTGAGTTAGCTAGCGAGTTAGCTATGCTAGTTAACTAACCTATGCGGTATGTTCACCGAGGTTACACAGACGAAATAACTATGCAGGTTAGCTAATTCGCGTTTTATTAACTTTAGGACGCTGAGTTTGAATCTCCTCTCCGCCCCCTTCACGGACAGTAACTTACTCTGTCACAGCTGCACCGCTTCCATTACCGAGCTTCGCTCCTGGGGTCTGAGTGGTTACCTAATCACGCACGGAATAACGCTATCACCATACTCTGTGAGGAATATTTCAAACACATCGATATTTGCCTCAAATCCGTCTTTTCAGAACCACATTCAAACGGCCGCACTGCAGTGCATCAACTATGGCCTCTGTGCCAATCGTCCCATCTCCTCCTACTGTCATGTAATGCTATACCCTTCACAGAGACCGTCTTTTTCCATTGTCTTAAACACATAACGTTACGTCAACTGTTTTCCAGTGCTAGGGAATACTCTGTTTTATCTGGTAATTAAGTGGTGATGTATATTTTCCATACTTTGCTATATTTAGGTGTGTGGCCCACAGACTGTATAAAACGCCAGAATAAGGGAGACAAGGTAGAATATGACTTTCATTTGAAAGATATTGAAATTACTTGTAGAATGTGTCATATAGAAGTCATATTATGATGATTATGATTAACTGATTAACTGATATGATTATGATTAACTGATGACAAATTTAATTTTCATTTCATTTATTGTGAAATTTTAGAGCAACTGACAGCCAACAAATTACTCAGTATGACATTCTGGGGTGCATACACTACCTATGTAATCACAATCCAGTGAATCTTGCCCCTCACTTCAGATTTCAATTTCTGTGAAAGCAGCCCATATGCTGGCTAAAGAATCAGGGTGGACTTGATGCTTACCCAGCTTGGCTTATAAAAAGCCATAAGGCTAGTCCTTTAAGAGCAGATTGGAATGCCACTGAGTGTTGAGTGACCTGCAGAGGTCATAGGCGTCTGCTATATTTACCGGCTCTGTAACTTGATCTGTGGCATTCTGGATCGCTGTGCTCACACTATCCCCTCATACTCTTGAGCCACAACCTCCTAAGTAGCACCCCATTGCTTTCTGTCTATTGGCCTGGCCGCTCAGAACAACAAGGGTGAGCCTCTTACAAAACAATTTAACCGCCGCTCTTCCTCCCCTTTCTTCTTTTAGGTACCTGCTTGTCAGTTGAATGCCTCCAGTGTTGGGCATGTCTTCCCAAGAAGACAATAATAGAGGACAGGGATGGTGTTTCACAAAGTTCTAGCATGAAGAGAAGCACTGTGATCAAATCTCCGGGGCTGGTGATATGCCCTACCCCGGAGAGTTCACAGTTCTTGATAGATGTGAAGTTTGCATTGGATAGTGAAAATATGTGTAATAGCTGGTTGTGATGGCAAAATACGAGCCTTGAAACAAGTGCGGGAAGAGCCACATAATGAAGCTGTAAAAGATGGTGTCAACCTATCAGCCTATGAACCTTCTTTTTAGAACTGAGCAACTTTTTTTTTAATACGAGCTGAAGGATGCGTCATCGATCTTTAATGGTTGGACGTGAAATGTGGAGAATGTGTTGACCGGTGGCCTGTAACCCACTTCATGCTGAACGTGTCTGCTGTAAAGAGAGAGACAGCCCAAAACAGATCAAGATTGATTTTTGCTATCTTCCTCAAATACCAAGGCAATATTTCTCACATGCAGCATTTCCTCTGTCCAGCTGGATAGTTTAATAGCAGTGTTGCAGCATGTGATCTACTGTTAGTGTGTGCATTTGCCTGTTTCAGATTACTCTTCTAAATTAAATTTCCCCATTTAAGAGAAAACGATCAATAGTTTTTAACGTTGCTGTTTGACTGTTTTGCCCTGCCTGTTGAATGGTATGTCATGTAACATACATGTCTGTGTGTTTCCACAGGAGTGATCTGTGTCACGAAGTCTGTGTGTGTGTGTGTGTTTGTGTGTGTGTGTGTGTGTGTGTACACTGTGGGGTAGCAACAGTAGAATGAGCTGCCCTGGAGCTGTTACAGTCTGCAGGGACTGACACACACTTCTACAAAAACAGCAGGTAACTACGTCACACACACACACACATCCTCAAGTTCATAGTGCATTCATTCATTTAAGGGCAGAGTTGTACATCACAGATTGCGTGGTTCAGATGTATCACAGCAGAATTGACTTGTCCCTTTATGAAAGAGAGTCAGAAAAAGTTGGAAAACTAAGTTATGTGTTTGATCAGCTTACCAATGACTCACAGAAATGACTAAACTGGAAAGGTGATGCTGCACGTCAGTTTTGTCATTACTGCCATGTAGGACACTTAATAGAACATTTAAATTGCAGCTCCTACTGCTAAAACCAATATCATTAAAAAAACAACATTCAGCAGTTTTGTTTGCACACACGCATTATCAACTCATATCCGCTGCAATAGACACCAAAACTAACCTGTGGTGCAGCTGTTGTATAACACAGTGATGGTAACATATTCAGATTTCAAATGGATACCAGTTTATCTGGTGGATTTGGAAAAATAATCAAGAGAAAGTCAGAGAAAAATAAATAAAAGGTTTTTTTTAAAGCTGTGCACTGATTTGGAACATTGAGAAGTTCCGTCTTGGATGATCTGAAGCTCCTCCTAGAGGTCAGAGCGGACAGCAGCTCCTTAAAAAACAGACCACGTAGTGCCTTGTGTGTCAAAAGTAACGTTTTAATCCTAAAAGTGACAGGGAGCCAATGGAGAAAAGCTAGCACTGGTGTGATGTGCGATCTGTGTTCAGTTAAGATGTACTGAGGCAGGTGAACCAAGGACAGATAGACCAATTAATTGGCCCGGCCAATATATTAGCTGATATCGGATTGATCAGTTTGAGGCTGATAATTGACAACAAATTGCAGAACAGAAATGCCAAACTAGGTTCAAAGTAATGTAAAAACATTGTCACCATTACATAGTATACCAGAGGGCAATGACAAGATCATTTTTACACTGTAAAATGTCCAGCTTAGCATGTATCTTGGCCACAGTTCATTAAAAGACAAAAACAAATTTAAGGTGGATTTTAGTATCTGTACCAACAAAAAGAATTTCTGCTTTTTCACAGTCATGTTGTAGAAATGTTTCTGACATCCGTTCTTTTATTGCACTAAGTCAGTTTTGTGTCTAGCTTCATTGCGATAATAGAGAGACAATGGAAATGACGTGCTCACTAATGGAGACACGGAGTGTTTGGTGTGACAGATAAGATTTAAACCACTCACGTATGGTTCCAGGTATCCCAGCGCACCAGAGTGTGGAATGCAGCACGTGCAGAGGGCGCTTACATCAGGATGTTGCTTGTAACAAGAAGAACAGTGGTCTCTGAGGAGAATTTATAACATACAGGATTGTTTTCCAGAATCTCTAGAATTTGTACTGGAGAAAGTGCTTCTAAAATGTCATTAGCATTATCAGTTTTTATGGCAGGTCTTTAAAATCAAAAGTGAGTGACACCATCACTGACATCCAGGTGATATCATAGTGCTGCTGGTGACTGACTCTTTACAAATAGATAGGAGGCCACGTCTGTGTGTATAAAGCTTGTCTCAGCATCACTCAGTGTAATGGCACAGACTGATAGGTGTTCCAAAAAATAATGTCATCTAATTGGCCAAATGATTAGCTCAATGAATAAAGAATTACGCCAGTCAGCTGCAGAGGCTAGATCATCAATCACTGTAGCCTGCAGATTCAGTCCTCTCTGAGGTCACGGCTGTTTTTATGGCCTCTCATGTGAGTCACCAACAGATGGTGGTAATGATGAATGCAGATTGGCTCCTCCTCTCCAGGTTTTCATATTGTAGAAACTCAGGAAGCTGGAAGGAATTTCTTTGTAGCTGAAAATGAAGATGAGCATCAAAAAGGAAAATAAAAAACAGTTCTCCTCAGTTGCAACCTTTGTATGCTGTGCTTTGTGGGCGTGAATTTTGAGAGTTTGTTCAAGGCTGGAAAATGAAGGTGACAGAGGTGTAACAGTTGGAAGGCGATGCTTGAGGGGCTAGGAAAAAGCAAAATCCTTGATATCTCTTTCAGGGCATTTTTTATGACTCAGATGTTTATATTAACATATTACCCTCTTTCATTTCCTTTAATCCCTTCATATCTAGTTTTAAATAAAGCATTATACCGTATACATCATTGTTTTGCCACTCACAGGACATGGCTGAGAGGGAGATAAAACTACTGAATGGCATCTAACCAGTAGCTAGGGAAGGCTGGACAAGGTCCAACTATGGCTTGTCAGAATAGCCAAGTCGTCAAGCCTAGTTTTAATACGAAACAGCTTGGCAGCTAGTTGTAAAGGGCAAAAAGGGAGGGCAGAGGCGTCAGTGTGGCCCTCACAGACATCAGCAGTCTCTTATCTGCTCACATTTCAGGGTATATATAGCCGCCTGTAAGGCCAAGCCAAACCCAGCACTGCTCAGAGACCTCCTAACAGCCCCCATGTTGATTTATAACATTATTCCTTATGAGAGCTTCACTATGTCTACATCATGTTTTGGTGTGTGTGTGTGTGTGTGTGTTGCTACAGCTGTTTTGGTTTATATTGTGGTAATGGTAACAATAGAATGTCTTATGGATGTGGCGGATATGGTCATGTGGATATGCTTTTCTGCATTACTTTATAAATGTACCAACACTGGTTTGTACAGTCTGGCAAAATTCATCGAAGGTCATTTCTAAAGCTAAAACCATTCAGTTATAATGTTAAAAAAGTAATTTCTTGATGGCAGCTTGTCTTAAAGCTCCACTAATAAATGTGTGTGTGTGTGTATATATATATATATACACACACACACACATATATATGTGTGTGTGTGTGTGTGTAACATCATAGGGGTCACATGTAGTTATCACTACTAACCTCTGCGGTTCCCCTCAGGTCTACTTTTACTGTCTTTCAGCACATTATTTTGGTTCACGGTGTTTTCAGCCGCAGCAGGCAGCTTCTTCCAGTGAAAAAGCTCTAGAAACTCACTGTATTCTACAAGACATATCCAGTTAGCACCTAACTGCTGAACACAGTGGAGCATTTAAAAGTCGATGGAGACACAAAACAAGCTAAAACCAGAGCAAATATTTGACTTACATTAATTTAGTGATGATTGGTAAGGTTGCTCTGTGTACGCAAAATTTGTAAACAGGCAACTCTTTGCTGACATTTCTCTTATATTATATTAATAATATAAATATAAAACTTTTATTTATGTAGCACCTTTCATTCATAAAATGCCGCCTGTTTTGTGGGTTACTTTAGGAACAGTTAAAACACCAGCATCAGAGGGCCTAAGGGCTGTTGTTGGTTAATATGGGGTTTATATCATTAGGAGCTTTAAACATTACAAAACCCAACTACAATTTCAACAAACTACATAAAACATACATTCCTCTCTATGTATACTTACACTATATACTCTATATCAGGGGTCGGCAAATAAGTCTGGCACCTGGCCAATTTTTTTAAAAGTCAAATCTACAATTTATAATCACATATTGAATGTGCCCCTATTTAGCTCAGTCAGAGGTCCTCAGGGCTCCTGGTTGAAGGGTTGGGAGTTCAATTCCCACTTGCTGCTAGTATTATTTTTCTTCCTTTTCAACAATTTTGATTGTGAAGAGATCATATTATATATCTCAGTTAAGCATGTGCAGGAGTGTGTGCCTCCGGCGATTAGTCCACATCATCATTTCCCCAGTATCTCCAGCCAGAGGAAATTCCTGCATTTTTCATTCAGGGGTGCTCACCTCAAAACTGCACTGATTCAGCTGAGATAGCGGTGATCATTTACTATAGTACAGCACTTCTCCACACACTCACGCAGACGCACATACTCTCACTCCAAATCACTAGAGAGCATCCGTGCTGATGTTACATTCATGCAATGTCACGGCGGCCTTGGCGTCCTGCGTCATCACACACGCTCACCTGCTGCACTTACGATCAGCTCTGCTCTCTAAAAGGCCGGGGGGAGGACAGTGTGTACTGTAAGAGGTCTGACTCATTGGAGTGATGGGTTTTCAAGCTAATAGACCCAATCAGGAGAATTTGACATGTGTCTGTGGCTCTTTCATACGTCCATATGAATTCATAGATACAAAATATCTACATTTAAGGCTTTGAAATATTTTCGCCATATTAACCGGGTTTATTTTCCAAGGTTTTGTCACTGAAGATACGCAGAGATCCAGTTGTATTCAAGTCTTAAAACCACTTATTTTGCTCTTTTTTCCCCAGTAATTATCTGTAGCTTCAGGGCCACATGCTAGATTCCTGATGAATCTAAGGCCAGTAATCAGTAGGTTGATCAGAGCAGTGAGAGTAAACAAAAAACATTAAGGGGTGCGAGCCGTAGAACCAAAACAATGAGCTGCAAGGCGCTAAAATGTTGCTTGTGTTTTGTTAGTTGTTTTCTTGTTTGTTTGTTATCTTTAAACTTGCTCTCAAATCCAGTTCCCGGTAGTGAAGCGAGGTTCCTAAAAAGCTAGCTTTAGCTTGGTTTTCTGAAACCTGCCCAGTAAGTGAAACCTCATCTCTCCAGCTCTTTGCCAAGAATTGCCAGCAGTGAGCTGCAGAGCTGCTGAAATTCTCATGCAGCCACTTCTGCCACTGTGCCGACAGCTTTCTTAATACAGATTTAGTAGAAGCTTGGCAGACCGACCAGTTCTTTTCTTAGTAGTAGAATGTTGCATTTCCACATTGTTATACTTTCTGGTTTTCTCTGGCCTCTCATATTTGATTCTATCTCATCCTGTTCTATAATTTTCCAGCAGCACAGAAGCTCGTTAGGCAGAGCTTTTTTTCTTATTTCCTTGGTGGTTTTCTGAAAGAAAGAAAGGAATACAGAACATTAAGTGCAGCCAGCAGTCTGTAGCTCTGATAGTCAGTGTAAATTGGTTATAGAATCTGCCCTGCTACTACTTTTAAGTCTGTTATGCGTCGGTAGCGAGCAAACAAATGCAGCTTTTTGCCATGGTAGCTATGGAAACTACTGGTTACCACAACCTCAGGGGAGGCTGAAGATGCAGAGCGGCCAGAGTGTGTGTGTGTGTGTGTGTGTGTGTGTGTGTGTGGGGCGCGTGCTCGTGCCAGTGCGTGTGTTGTTGTTTCCGTGGAGACATCTCCTCTCAGAAGTGAGATCCATAGTTTGCTATCATTTTATGGGTCCGGTGTGGAGCGGTGTGACTTGCTGTTTGCACTTCACTCTCAGCAGCTCGCCCACCAGGCTAGCCCAAGCTTGTTACTCTCAGCTGCCCTGGGTCTTTGACTGAGACACAGCTGTGGGAGTACAGAGAAGTGCATGCATGAAGCGGTCAGGGTTAGGCTTAACCGAGGCCAAGGTGATACAGTCCAGGGTTCAAAGCACATACCGGATAACCTTATTCAAGGCTGAAGAGCCCCTAATAAACACAAGAAAACCATATATGAATTTGTCTTTCTTGTTCATGATTGCATTTTGTTAATCTGAGAACCACTGCTTTAGTGAAGAGCAATGTTTATACTGTGGGTCTTACTGACAGAGTAAACTCATGGTGCCACAGATCATCCAGGATTCGCTGTAATTCCTCTCACACATGTTTTTATCCTTCTGTTGACACAGTGAGGAGTCTCATAATGAAGGTTTTAGCTAGCGCGATGATAAAGGATGGGGCCTCGGAAGTCTGTGGATTCTGCAGTGATGGATAGGTTTTGCTTCAGTCAAAGTACAAGCTTTGACAGAATTGCTTCGTGGCTAGTGTCTCCTCTGTGTTCAGGCAGCAAATTACCAGCTCAAATGTCCAGATACTGTGCACTGCAAAGAAATGATCTGGAGAGGAATTTTTGGTTGGAGTTAGTATGGTACTTTACTGGAGTCTGCACTAATGTATTCAGTTCAGATTACTGTATATAGCCAATAGAAGCATGCATGCACCATTTCTAATATATAAAACATAAAAAAAATTACATTCAGTATAAATAAATGTAACAGATCCGGGTACTCTGAATGTTAGAGGCAATCTTGACGCATATAAAAAACACTAGAGCCCAGTTTTTAAAAGTCTGATAACAACATGTCAGCATATACATATTTTTCATCAAATTCACGAAACATAAACATTTTTGATGAGGATCCCATTAATGTGTATTTTAAGGTATTTAAGGTAGCTTCCTCTCATATAACTTGGCAATTATTGTGAAAAGGTTGTTCAATGAAGTATCCGGTGTTAAATAGAGGTGGAAATGAAATAATCTCTATGCTGATTTTAAAAATTTAATTCAGTTTGGTACAAAGATTTAAAGCCACTATGTGGTTTGTTGTTGTTGTTTTTAAAGCTACTAATAACATAGTTTAAAAAGTATTTCTCTCTAACCTCAAATATTTATGACTAGAAATGCAGAAATCCAAGTTGAAGTTCAGAAGAGCTGCTAGCTCCTCTACAACACAGGTATATAAACATAGCTCTGGTGACTTTCAAAGCTCCACCAGACGCCCTGTCTTTCAGAGGATCTGACAGTATCTCCTTATGGCTGGTAGCTCTGACTACCGGCTCTACGTCGCTTATAGTCAGTCTCCTCCAATCCCCAAGGGACTGGTACACTTTCATTTATAAGGCAATTCTTGGTCTGCTGCCAAGCTACCTATGTGTTCATATCATGCAGAAAAGTAACGGGCGACACTCTTTGCATTCTCAGGACTTCTTTATGCTCTCTGTGCCACATACCCGTACGGAAACGGGAAAGAAGGCATTTCTGTATTCTGCACCTTCAGCATGGAATACGTTGCAAAAGGACTTGAAACTTACTGAATTAATCTCGCTAAACACATTTAAATCCAAAATGAAAGACTTAGACTGTAAAAACGATTTAAAATGACTTTATGAAATGTTAGCTTACTAGACTTCTGTCTTCTACTAGTCTTCTGGTTAAGTTCGGTATAAAACTAGACCCATACAAGCGCTGTTAAAAAGGTTAATAGCTTAGTAACCATTCTATCTGCAAGTTATTGCACCAGGGTTAGGGGTCTGTATATGCGGCTGTCTTTTAGTAAGTTTGTAGTTTGTATGACAGGTGAGTCAAACCATCACACTAGTTGCGGTGGTTGATGCATGTTTGTTCCACCACAGTTTCGGCCAGGCTTCCTGCCACGTTGCCCAAACTTGGTAATTTTCTGGCTCCAGTAACGGATAAATGTGGTGATGGACAGTAAATCCAGATCCAGGCTCAATCCCATTAGAAAAGTATGGGTGATGTCAGAGATGCAGTGTTCTGTTTTATTGTTGCCATCTGCATTACAGTGCCAAAACCAAAATAACCCTCCAAACGCCGCTGCTGCCAAATTATAGAAACAAAACACGTAGATCTACCAGGCCTGTCTTCAACTGGCTGACTTAAAGCAAGGCCAACTTCTTGGTGCTGTTAGCCTGGCTGGCTCAGCAGTACTCAACTGAGTAGCCACATTCATGGCCTGCCCTGCCTCTGTGTGTCTTGGCCTAACAGTGTGTGCTGGCCTGTCTCCAGCACGCCGCCTGTCTGCCAACTCTAGATCCATATGCTGAATTATTGATAGACCAGTGATCACAGAGAGAGAGAGGCAGAGGGAGAAAGCGATAGAGACCCAGAAGGAGGGGAAATTACACTGACGAGAAGTATATGTACTCAGAGAGAAGGCAGGGTGCCGAGGAGGAAGAGCGAGAGCGAGAGAGGACAGGGATCAGTGTGTGTGTGAGAGAGAGAGAGAAAGACAGATTAAAGAAATAGGAGCCCCACTCACTGAACTCAACACGGATCAGCAACACCAGATACTTTTATTTATTCAGACGCTGCTGTGCATGTGAACAAGAGCCTCTCTCTGCGTCTGCCGCCACAGGAACACACTGTGCTGCCTGCCTGGCTTTACCTCCAGCACCCAGCTGGACTCTCCCATTATAGCCGTGGGAGACGCACATTATACAGAGAGACAGAGGAGGGGTGGGCTGGTGCAAAATAGTCAGGAGCGTTTTTGTTGCATATTTCTATTCATCTCCTTGGTTTTAGAAGGGGATTAATGTTGGTAGGCTCCAGTGGGTTTTCCAAGTGAGTGGGATTCAAAGCCCAGTAGAAGATGCTGTGCCTTCCTTGTGCATTAGATCACAACTAAATACTGTATCAGAAATCATGCTAGCTAGTGCTAACTGTGTCACTACAGGCCCGCCTTTACGGGATTGTCATGCCTCTTAGAGTTGCGCAGTGTGAGTATCCATGTTGTAGGCATCTCTGCTACACTTTGTAAACCTCATGGGTAACCAGCTGTGCGCTGTAAAAGCCTGTAGATAGGCAGCAGAGACGTTAAAGCAGGGGCTGTAGCTAATGTCACTGGGCCCTAGGTGGACACACAGACATGATGGCCTTATGTACTGTAGGTCCTTTTAATGTGTTTAAGTCTAAGGGAGTACAAGTGGTAACAATGAAACCATATACATTGGTTTGATATATGAAACAACTCATTGTACATGTTAAAGTTGATTTTATAGTCACATGTAGATCTACTACGCTGCAAAAACCATTAAACAATATATGCTGTGGTTCTGGAGGACCTTTATTAAACCTGAGAAAACTATTCACATGACATCACTTGAGTAATCTCAGTTTAGGCATGGAAACTACACTTTATACTTTATACTATTTATTATAGGGCTGGACGATATGGCCAAAAATGTTAACACACTAAAAAGTTTCATATCTTTCGATATCGATAATTATCACGATAAGTATCAAATCGTTATTTCTTTCGAGTTTAAAGGCTGATTTTGAAGAAGTTGAAGAAACCTGATGGTTAATTGGTTTAAACTCTTCTTTATGGGCAACACTTGAGGCCAAGCAGTGGATCACTTCACAAATCTGAGGCAGAACATTCAAAACAATTATTTAAACTAAATTGATAAAATCTTTGTCAACCAATATTCACGAGTAAAATTAAGTAAAAGCTTTTTTCAGTCCTTTTTCCTCTACAAAATAAACATCTTAATAAAATAAATTATGATTCAAGCGAATAAAATAAAAAATGTATTGACTATTTATTGAACATTTGTTATATTGTTATTGAAAAAGATTATATTGCGATAATTATTGTTTTATTGTCCAGCCCTAGTTTAGTATATAAATTATTGTATTTAGGTCACAAAGACTGTTGTCAGATCTGAATATTCACAGAACGGACTGTATAGTCTGTCACAGCGGGGGTCAGTAGTTTTCAAAACCCAGAAAACATAAAGTGGAGACATTACGAGACCCTCGATTAAAGCAATATGCCACAGAATAATTCACATCCTCGCAGCTAATTCTACTTTTGAATTGTGTATGTTCCTGGTAGTGTAAGGCCATTTTAGGATATAAATCATATTCTTGGTGATTAGAACGGGGGATCAGTTTATTGGGATTTTTAGCCTGATTCTTGGGTGATGAAAAAAAACTTTGTTTTAATGGAATTGTTACACTGGGCTTTAAAGTGCCAATATAGTTGTATGCTAATGTAGTGGAGACATTTTTTCACTTACTACTACTGCATTATGTGCCACACAGAAATAACACCAGCCTTGTCGACAGTAAAAGGAGACGCGATGTTCACTCAGATAGATTGATTTTGATAACGTAGTGCACTTAATGGGTGAAAAACACTATAAAGTGCTTTGAAAATGGGTTGAAACGTGAAAATACTGATACAGTACTTTAAATAAGAGGACAGGATAATCAGTATGGGCGTATATCACTTTAGATTTTAAGTTTTGATTATATAATGCCAAAATGGTGGAGGTTTTATAGTCAGTGATGCACATTCTTGAATCCCTGTGTCTCTAAAACCAGATTAATGCTTAGTAAAGCAAGGATAAATGATGTCCTAACTTGTGCCTACACTGTTGCTGTAGTGTAAGTATTGATTTGATTGTTGCTGATGAACTAATAGTCGTGCCTCTTTGCTGTGGCTGCAGTCAATGCAGTCTTCCAGAGGCTCTCCCTCCCTGTGGCTGAGAAACCAGCAGCAGCAGCAGCAGCAGCAGGATGTCCCGCGTCTCCTCCACCGCCAAGCGCTACACTGGCTCCTCCTACACCAGCCACTACAACTCCTACAGCTCCTCCCTGACGCCGGGCCTTAGCTCCTACAGCGAGCGGGACAGGCTGTCCTCCTACAAGTCCCCCACCTCCTCCTCCACCTCTTCCTCAGGTTACTCCTCCTCCAGCTATCTGAACAGCTCCGCCGCCCGCAGCCGTAACTACAGCACCTCCTCAGACCCCGACCGCGACCGGGGTCGAACCATCCCGCGTGCCGACATCCTCGGAAGCAGCAGCAGCAGCCGCCGGAGCGAGAGCCTCAGCAGAACCCCCGTCAAGAGCTATGGAGGGTCGGGACTGAGTGGCGGATCTGCCTACACCGGCTACAGTTCCTACTCTTCGTCCTCGGCCCAGTCCAGCTACCTCTCCTCTTCACCGGTGGCCTCCAGCATCTTGCTCAACCGACGTAAATCTGTATCCCAGAGTGACTTGAGCAGGGACCTGGCCTCTCTGGGCCTCAGTGACAACTCCTCCTCTTCCTCCACCCAGTCTTCTTCCACCAGTGCCCTGCGGAGCTATCGAAGTCGGACCAGCGATGTGGCCAACTCGTATGGCACAAGCTCCCGCCCAAGCTACTCAGGCCTGTCGCGGAGTTCTACTCAGGAGGCCCTCTCACGGAGCTCCACCCAGGAGGCCTTCGGCAGCAGCAGCAGAGCATACAGCTCTTCGACATGGGAACCGAGCAGTAACAGGCTGTCCGACTCCCCCACTAGGGACTCCACGGTAAGAGAATGTCTCTTGTTGTTGAACGTGCTGGTTTGAAGCTTGCTGCTTTTACTGTGGATGTTCTGTTCCAGAGGGGATCAATATCCAGGGCCTGAGTAAAGCTGAAAGAGAATGAGTCAGAGCTGCAGTCTTCACCATAGAGGCACACTGGTTTCATTTCATTAGTTTCACACACATGGGAAAGCCCCACAATGCCTTGTGGCCTCTGAGAATACTTGTTTTTACCAAATGGGGGCACTGTTGCTCAAATTTATGTTAAGGCACTTGAATTTGTGGTTTACAATAATGTACAAGACGTATTATACTCTCTTACATGCCTTTAACGTGTTCCTTGGTAGACTGAGCTGTTCAGACAGTTACAATACGTCTTTCTTTCTAACACAACACTAAGCGAACGTACACCTCAACACTAAGCGAACGTACACCTCTCAGAAGGTGGCTTTGATTAGCTGGGCCACTAGCCTCATCTCTAAGCTCAGTATTAATGACCCGAGGTTCCTCTATGCGGGTCAGAAAGCACAACTGACCCACTTCCCCCCGAGATTAACCCCGATAACCACTTACATTGGAGGAGGATGGGGAGAGGGGAGGAGCGGGAGAGTGGTTGGGAGTAAGGAGGAAGAGTGGAAAAGAGATTTAGGGAGAATTTCTGGTAAATCTCTACTTGAAAGTGCTCTTCAAGTTAAAACCATGAATAAACATCTCTTAGAATATTCTTTTCAAACACAGGATCAGACAGATTGACTATAAGATTATACTGGGGCACAATAAAGTTTAAATTCTGTTGTACATCATTGTTGTGTTGTGTTCACTATATTACACTCTTATTGTTGTAACTATCATTTTGTTAATTAACAAAGTAATTACCATCCGCTCTCAGATGAAGTTCTAATGCATCAGAGTGCTTTATGAGTACCACTTGAAGTAAATCATGTAGTTATTATTGGCCACCTCTCCATGAGCATATTAATCAGTCCGTGTGTCAAACATTCATTCAGCAACGATACTCTTTTTCAGGATTAGTCACTACATTAGAAGGAAGGCCCATACTCTCAAAAAAAAAAGAACTTCATTCCCATCATAACCTCAATAACAGCAATACAGCAATAATAAAGCTTAAACAATGGGAATCATGAGGTCACCGGACACCATGTACTAATCAGAGTGTCTGTACAGTCTAGGGAACACTGGATAAAATTATTTCTTGTTGCTTGTAAAAAAAAATATTATATTGTACTATGAGCCTGCAGTTCATCACTGTGAAGCACAAAGAGACTGGTATTGGTACTCGTCCATGTATCAGCATCAGGCCAGTAACTCATAGCACCTCATAAAGTATAACTGACCCTTTCCTGCAGTGCACTTGGCAAGCTTGAACTTGACTTTTATTCTGATTTAACGTATCCAGTAATCAACACCTATCCATCATGCACAGGCTGAGAAGTACAGGGCTTTCACTGGATGTCACCAGCTGGGCTATTTGGACTGTTAATTAACCCCAGGCCTCTGTTACTCCAGGCACATTTAATCACCCTCTTCCCCCAGGGCTGGGCATTTGCACTAATAAATATTTTGGAGCGCAGTCTGCAGAAACCAGCCTCAGTAAGGGTCTTGAGTTTGAGATTGTCTCATATTTAAACAATAGTATTGTGTACTACTGAAACAACAATCTTTGCTAAACAGAAACCATTTAGTAGATAATGGTAAATGTAGTTTAAGGCTGAGGTAGGAAATTTATTCATAAACATTTTTTGTTATATTTGTTAAAATTCTCTTTACCCGACAGCAATCAATAAATCAAATGCTCTGACACAAAAATTAAAAACAAAATCCGGTATCTGATGCTGTCACCAGCTGTCATCTGCCTGTGCATGAACAGGTGTTTAGGGGAGTGGCTTTGGAGAGAGGCCTCAATGGAAGGGGTGAAATTATCTTTCAGTTGGATACTTGCACTTCGTTTTTTTTTGAACAAACAAGATATAACATTAATAAGGTTTATCAACGAGTAGAGGTGCTGGTTGGTAGAGTTTTTATGCTAAGCTAAGCGAACCTGCTGCTGGTTGTAGTTACATATTTATTCTACAGACATGAGGGCGGTATCAATCTTCTTATCTAACTCTTGGCAAGGAAGTGTATAAGTGTATTTTCCAAATTGTTCCATTAAGTAAAAATAACTCAACTTGTCATTATTTCAGACATATTAAGACTAAACAATGCATCAGAAGAATAATCATTAGCTGCAACTCTGGGTTGATTTGTATTTGATTGTAATTTTACTCCATTACATAAACTCTATTCATAAAGCTTTTGGTCAGCAGACACCCCTTGCGTGTCAAAGATGTCCATGTGCGCCGGCTGACACATTTTGAAGAAAAAGGTCAGGAATGATCTCATGACTGATGAGCGTCAGAATGACAGCCGCCGTGACCACTTAGTGACCTCTCTCATTATGTCATATCAGGTCAGCCATCCTCAGGCGACACAGTGGTGCTTTGTTTTCTTGCCGTTCAGGGTGATGAAAGTTAGAAAGGAGGGAATCTTTTATTGGTAGTTTAAGATTGTAGTAACAATCAACAACAACTAAGAAGTAACTCAGTTGCCATTTGTGAAAATGAGGCTTACAGATGTCATCGGTTTTTCAGTATAACAACATTTTTGGTTTTGGATATTAGCAGTAATGATGTGATTTCTCAGTTGAAGATGCTCCCATGAATTCACCACTTAAACATATTAATATTTTGGTGTTTGATGTCAGTATCAGTGAAATACCAAGATTTTTTATGCCCATTTCAATACCATAACTTTTAAACTTTTAAATTGTCTCTGTGCACCCCTGTCCTACTTCTTGACACCGTGGTAGCCCCAAGGAGACACTACCAGGAACTGTGAAGCGACCAGAGTGAGCAGTATTTGAAAATATTAGCAGTACATTGCGGCTTTTTGCCCGTTTTTCCCTGTTGTACAATATTATGTCACAGATTTTGAAAGAATGACCCAGATGCGGAAAATGTTCTACACACACTTTGGGGCCTCCACCAAATTCAGTGCCTCTACAGCAGACAGTTGAACAAATTCTAATGCTCAGCCCGAGTTTCACCTCTCTCTCCATATGTATAATACATTTGTGTATTTTAAATTTAAATTTTTCCTATAAAAATAATCAGCTCCTCATTCTCCTCCTAACATTTTATTTAACACAGCTTTACTGAATGTCTATCGAGTTGCCAAAGATGTCAGACTAGCACTAGCATTCTCCAATTCTCCCTCCACAGCATTTCAGCATCTCCCTTTATTCCAATCTCAACGTGTAAAATGTGACCTGATTTTAAATTTCCTAGTGTCCAGTGAATCCAATGATACCAGTCCTACAGAATGACTATAGGAACAACTCAAATTAACAGTAGTTCTCCTTTTGTTGTTTCATTATGAATATATAAACTGTGGGTCGCTTGAAGTAGTCTTGGCAAATTGAGGTAAACGCAGTCCTGATAGTCCCTCAGAAGCTTACAACACAAAAATAGCAGCTGCTGGTGCCTCATGGTCCTGCTCATCTTGTCCCATGTTTATGAGTAAGGCAAGCTGGTTAACATGACTATTGTTCTTGTTTTTCCTGTTTGTATCATGCATGATATTCAAATCAGACCAGGACACGTACGAGAAAGAAAACATGGCTTTACTAAGCAGAAGGCTTCCAGTGTCATACTCATCACTCATCATTTATTTTACTTAGGTACAGCTTGTTTCCCAAATGCTGGTAGCTCTTGTCTTGTATTAGGAGGTTATGCACAATGCACAAGCCTTTCACATAATTGGTGTTTTTTTGTTATGAACTGGGTCACCTACAATGCAAAGCTATGCCAACCAAGCTTAAAAGAAAAACAGATTATTACAACTTGGGTTTTATTTTCTCAGCTCTGGCCATGATTTCTAACTGTTGGGATATCATTGTACTCAACAATATAATTGCTTAGATTTCAGAACTGCTTTAAAAAATAGGTCCAACAGAGCAAGAAACACCAGCAGCCAGATGATAAGGCTGTAAACAAACTCTTATGTTAGTCAAACTGTGTTATTATTAAGATTTTTACCCATCATCAGTAGCTGTGCACACTCACAGTTCTTCTTACAGGTTCATTCACTAACCTTACTTACACCAGAGGTGTCCACATATTCAATCTTCTCTGCTGGAAAACATACACTGGCCACCTGTTCGATAGCACTACAGCAGAGACTGTACTTTTCAAGACCACTGAGACTGCACAGAGTAAGCAGTCAGATCATGCTTATGTTCTACCGGGCCCTTCTGGAGAGCATCATCAGATATGGAATCACAGCTTGGTTTGGAAACTTAACAGTGAAGCCAAAAAGCAGCCCCAACCTCTATCAAGCTGCTGAACTCTAGTGCTAAATCTTAGCACAATAGAGCAAATATGTCATATGTTGATTTTATGTTGACTGTATGAAGGTTTCTTTTGTGGATGTTTGTGTTATTAAGCAACTGATTGTAGCCTGTGCCCAAGACACATTTTCCCCTCTGGGACACTAAAGTGTATCCTATTCTGTTCAATTGTTTACAGCTAGTCTGATCATCTGACAGCAAAACAATCAGAAACTCAGCCAAAGTGTTTTTGTTCAGGAGCTATGTGTGACCTATAAACACGAGACAGGGTATTACCTCACCTCGGATTCAGAGCCAGCTCTTTGTAATGACAGTGACAACCTTTCACTCACTCATGCTCGTTGGCTCCTGCGCACAAACAACCACAGTAAAGCCAGAGTGGCACGCCAGAGTTAAAGCTGTCTTGATTTTGCCCCAAGTTATTCTGCTAAGGCTTTGTGTCTAGACTTGCTGTTGAGTCAACAATATTTTTAGACTGCGGACTCTCAGTTCACTACCGTGGTCAGACAGTTTATGGTTTGATTAAAAAAAAAAAAAAAGCACAGCCTGGCACAATTTGAAGCTTTACTTTGTTCTTTGGAAAATATGGGCCAGTGCT